GTAAATTGCTTTTCACAACTTTTTTTCCAGTATATCAATAGTCATGAACAAGAGTCCAAGCAATCACCATAGAAAAGATAATCCCTTCCCTGAAAAATGAGATGAGATGATGGTTTCCAGGTGTTCCTTTGCACATGTGATGTGCCTGAGAACACTGTAGTCACTCTCCCACATCCAAGCAGAATTTGATAAGTTGTTCTCTATTGGAGAAATATGTCAGATTCCTAAAGGTATATATAGCTTAGACTATTGAGTAGGAAATACTAAATGCATGAACAATGTTGTTCTATAGATTGGCACCATCACTGAAGATAGAATCAGAAAAGGTGTTTTCCGTGGGAACCAGAGGAAGGGTTAACTAGGACAGCCTAAATTCTCCTTATCTTTCAAGTCATGGCTCAGACTGAACATTCAGGTTATAAAATGCACTAATGCTTCTGATTCCATGCATTTGAATGGCAGAAAATAGTTAACGCATTTTAGCTAAGAGTAGGTGCATTTGGAGTTTCAATGGGAATATATGTAAATTTGGGTTTGAAATAATACGTTTTGTCTCATGCAGCCAGTCAGAATCTGGTAAGATCTTTTTTAAGACCACCGTCCTCTTCTGTTCCAAACCTCCCCAATTACCTCCAGAACAGACCCACAACTTCTCAGTCATTTCAGTCCTGACTCCTGCCTTTCCGCTCTTTGTTCCCACCTGAGCTAAAGAAGACCTGTGTTTTCCTGAACCCTCCTAGCTCAGTTATATCTCTGAGCACCTCCATATCTTGGTACCACTTGCTGGAGGAACCCTCTAACCTGTTTATATTGGTTGCCAGAAACAGGAACACCAGTATATAAACCTGCATGGATGTGGCCATGCAGCTTGGGTATTCTCTGAGGTTCTCAGACCCAAGATAGGGGGGAATAAGATAAGAGCCCAAAGTCACCACAGTCCAGGAAATATGTTGGTGGGAGTCGGGGCAAGGGAGGAACTGACCTATGTGGGTTCCATAAGCACTTCTGCACCAGGGGAAATTATAAAGTGACTGGTAATTGAGGAATGTGTTCATGTGGGATTCAGTGGGCTCATGCTTCCCTGTCCTTGTCTGTGTCCTTGGAGTTAGGTGACCTTACGGATTGTTTAACCTTTGTGCCTTAGTGTTTAGTGTTTGTTTGTTTGTTTTTTTTTTGTACCAGCTATGTCACTTAAAGATTCAACCTGGCTGGTGTAGCTCAGTGGATTGAGCACAGGCCTGCAAGCCAGACAATCGTGGTTCGATTCCCAGTCAGGGCACATACCTGGGTTGCAAGCTGGTTCCCTGCAGGCCAATTCCCAGCAGGGGACGCACAAAAGGCAACCATACAATGATGTTTCTCTCCCTCTCTCTCCTTCCCTTCCCCTCTAAAGATAAATAAATAAAATCTTAAAAAAAAAAGATTCAAGATATGAAATGGATAAAAGTGTTGCTTACTGAATTGGACAAGCAGGAGAAATGTTTTTGCTGAGAACCAACAAGGGTCTATGAAGACCCTTGTTAAAACTGTAAAGCAGGCTTTACTCAAGATCATTGAGATATGTGTAGGGACAATGGGTTTTGCAGTAAGGGAGAGAGATTGGATTCAACTACAAATTTTATTTATTAAAATACATTTTTTAATTTATCAATTTTATAGGGAGAGAGTGAGCACATGAGCAAGAAAGGAGTCAACTTGTTGTTACATGTATTTATGCATTCATTGGTTGCTTCTTTTATGTCTCTGATGGGAGATCTAACCCACAACCTTGGCGTATGGGAACAACTGATGCTCTAACCAACTGTACTACACAGCCAGTGCTCAAGAACCAATTTTAAAGAGAAAGCTGAGATTTATAGCCAAGGAGCAAGGGTGGGGTTAGTGCATAAAAAAAAATTATGTAAAGAGTAGGGAAATCCTTCCTAAACTGACCTAAAAGATCTTGCTGAAGGCAGTTCAAGTGTGGTCAGATATGACCCATGTGATGGTGAGGGATGAAGAAATTTGATCAGACATCATTAATGATCAGATATTGAGGGTGAAAAGTTCTTGCCAAACCGACTTAGCACAACAAGTCCCAAGACCTAGTCAAAAAGAGCTTAGAGGAACCTGACTGAAGTTGGTCAAGAAGAAATGCTGTCACATTCTCCTGTGTCCTGCTTCAGGGTGGCGTCGCATCCTTCCTGTATCTCCCCTGACATGGCACAGTTAGAAGTATTTTCTCTCTTGTCCCTGACCAAACTTGAAATAAGGTAATGTTTATTAGCTTCTGCTGACAGTGGACATATATTTTTTTTGTCTGAATGACTCCATGCCATATGTTTATTTGGATTTTTAGACTCTGGGAGCCTCAAAAATAAATAAGATCTTGGTTTTTCACTCCAAGATGGCAGCTTAGGTAAACATGGTTCACCTCCTTGCACAACCACATCAAATTACAACTAAAGTATGGAACAACCATCACTCAAGCCCACAGAAATCAACTTGAATGGAGGTCCGGCAACCCTGGCATTAAAAAACCACATCTATACAGACCGGTGGGAGGGGTGGAGACACAGAATGGCCTGGTCCCACACCCCTGCGTGACAGATAAAAGTTGGGAGGGATATCTTGGAAGTGAGGGGTCCCAGCCCTGTATCAGGACCTTTAGCCCAGGGTTTCCATGCGGGGAAGATACATCCCCATGGCTTCTGGATGTAAAAACCAGTGGAGATTGGGTTGGTGGAAGAAACTTCTGGATTACCAGGCAGTTCCTCTTAAAGGGCCTGTATGCAGACATACTCAAACTCACTCTCGCTAAGCTCCAGCACCAGAGCAGCAGCTTGAAAGACACCAGTGGCATCCAGGGAGGACCTGAAGTATCTGGCATCAGGTCAAGAGCTGAAGGACAGCCTTCTCCTAGACAAAACTGCTAGCAGAGGCCACTGATCCTCTTCTGAGCCCTCCCCTCACAGAGCCACAGACTGTGTTGGACACCATATCTGAGACTCCATCAACCTGGCTCACACTGTTTATCCTGCTTTGGTGATTCCCTGAGATTCTGCCCCACCCAACTTATGGGCTCACCCAGGCGATTAAAGGTCACCTTTCCATATGAATGACTTATTTTGGCACATTCTTCTGAACTTCCAGTCAGAAATGAAGGGTACACTAATTGAAATGAAAAACAATTTACAGGGAAACAACAGTAGAGTGCATGAAACTGAGAATCAGATCAATGATTTGGAACATAAGGAAGCAAAAAACAACAAATCAGAATAACAAGAAAAAAGAATCCAAAAAATGAGGATAGTATAATAAGCCTCTGGGACAATTTCAAGCATACCGACATTCCCATTGTAGGGATGCCAGAAGGAGAAGAGAAAGAGCAAGAAATCGGAAATCTGTTTGAAAAAAATAATAAAAGAGCCCCAGCTAGTGTGGCTTAGTGGATTGAGTGCTGGCCTGAAAACCAAAGGGTCGCTAGTTCAAATCCCAGTCAGGGCGCATGCTTGGGTTGCGGGCTGATTCTCTAGTGGAGGGCACACAAGAGGCAACCATAACACTGATGTTTCTCTTCTATCTTTCTCCCTTCCTTACCTTCTCTCTAAAAATAAATAAAATTATTTTTTTAAAGGAAAAATAAAGAAAACTTCCTTAATTTTATGAAGGAAGTAGACACACAAGTCCGGTAAGCATAGAGAGTCCAAACAAGATACATTCAGAGAGGCCCACACCAAGATATATCATGATGAAAATGCCAAAGTGTAAAGACAAAGAGAGAATCTTTAAAAGTAGCAAGAGAAAAGCAGGTTGCTATCTACAAAGGAGTTCCCATAAAATTGTCAGCTGATTTCTCAAAGGAAACTTTACAGGCTAGAAGAGATTGGCAATAAATATTCAAAGTAATGTAAAGCAAGAACCTACTACCTAGACTACTCTATCCAGCAAAGCTATCATTTAGAACCAAAGGGCAGATAAAGACCTTCCCAGGTAAGAAAATGCTAAAAGTGTTCATCACCACCAAGTCACTTTTATTTGAAAATTTAAAGGGACTTTTTAATAAAGATTTTCTTTTATTTTTATACAGAGTAAAAGGGAGAGAGAAAGAGCAAGAGAAACATCAATGTGTGGTTGTCTCTTGTGCACCCCTTACTGGGGAGTTGGCCCACACAACCCAAGTATGTGCCCTGACTGGGAATTGAACCGGCGACCCTTTGGTTCACAGGCCAGCACTCAATCCACTGAGCCACACCAGCCAGGGCTAAAGGTACTTATTTAAGAAAAAGAAGCTGAAAGTATGAACAATAAAATGGCAATAAATACATATCTATCAAAACTCGAACCACCCAAACAAACTAAGCAAACAAGAAGAAAAAACAGAATCATAGATATGGAGTTTCATGGCTGCCAGATGGAAGAGGGGATTGGTGGAGTAGATGAAAAGGTGAAGGGATTAAGAAGCACAAATTAGTAGTTATAGAATAGTCATGGGGATGTAAAGTGCAGTATAGGTTATGAAGAAGCTGAAGAACTTATATGCATGACCCATGCACATGAAAAAGGTGTTGGGATGGCCTGAGGGAGTGGGGGCTGCCTGGTGAAGGGGGACAGAGGGGGAACAACAAGGACAATGATAATAGCATGATCAATAAAATATAATTTAAAAAAAAAAGATCTTTAGCCTCCAGGAGTATGCTGAGCTTCAGAGTCTCAATATGTCTCCATAATTTGGGTGATCATTTGCAGAGAGCATGTCGCAGAAATATGATGAAGATCCCTTTAAAGGGGAGGTGAAGCCTACTTAGATGTGCCGTTTCCCAATGTTCCTCCCAGGCGAGCACATAACATTTTAGGCAATATGCCTGTCATCCCATGAATTTTGTGACTGGGGACTACATTACCCAGAATGCTCAGGGCCGAGTGGCAGCATCGCTATCCAGTGAGAACTCAGAAAAGAGGCGCTTTCCTGGCTCATTTTTCTTCTGGGGGCGGGACGTCTGGTTCTGTCTTGGCGGCCATGTTAGGTGCTCTGGGTTTTGTTCACTCTAAGACTCCAGGGCGAGGAGTTAGGGTTGAGGTGCCGGGTCCAGAAAGCTTGACAGTCGTGGTCCTGCTGCATAATTGCGGCTGTGCGACTTGGTGTCGCTGCCTATATGTCTCGTGGTAAGGCCAAAACAAGAACCCCCGTGCCAGTGCCCCGGACCGCCTCCGCCACTCCCGCCCGGCCCCGCCCACAGGGTTTGATGGCGGCGCCCTCAAGGAGGCGCCTGGCTGAGGTGAGTGCTTGTCCCCCAGGCCCTCCCCCCAACTCCACTGAGCCCTGCAGTCCCCTCACGGAACTCCTGTCACGTCCTGCAGCCGGGGCTGAGAGGCAATCGACGGTGACACTGTCACGCGATGGGGAGAGAGGGTGATGGGCTGAGGAGTACCTGGTAAAAGATGAACTGAGCACTGAGGCACCGAGGTTAAATAGCGGGCTCGAGTCCCAGTCTTTAGGATGGGAGCAGTACCGGCTTGCCTGAGCCCATGAAACCCGCCACGAACTCACTTTGCTAAGGCCTACTACCTCTATCCACCTGTCCCGTGGCTGCAGACGCGGTCATGGAACCACAGGGAAGTGGAAGCATGTCCCCACCCGTACTGGCCCTGACCACCAACCACATACTCTCTGTAATGTGTTTCCGGCAGTAAAGTGACATTTCCTCGGTTTGGGGTTTGGAGAATCTGGAGGAACCCTAAACACGGGGTTCTAAGGCCACTCCAAGGGTGGTCTCTTTTTTTGTAACAAAGGTCAAGAGGACAGGAGTCAGGACTGGAATGGCCACCTGAGAGATTGGGAGTCTGTTCTGGCGGTAATGCAGGGTTTGCATCTGAAGGGAGAGGAGATATTACCGAAGTCTTACTTGGTTCTTTCTGGTTCTTGTATCATTATAGACTGGGGTTGAAGGAGGAAAAAGGAAGAAGGGGAGTGGGGTCAGGGCTGTTGCCATAATTCAGCTGAGGGTTAATGGAGCAGAGTCTTGGCTTAGGAGATGTGATTGCACTGTGATGTGTACTTTTAAAAAAAGAGTTGCCTTTTTACAGACAACTCTTTTACATGTCCTCACCTGAGGACATGCTTATTGATTTTAGAGGGAGAAACATTGAAAGGTTAACTCCCGTATGAGCCGTGTCTAGGGATCGAAATTTTAACATAGGTATGTGTGCTAAACTGGGAATCAACCTGTGCCTGGCGCCAACTTTGTTTTCTAACATGGACTGTGAGGGTGTGAAATGGGACTCAGATAAAACTAGGGTTTTTCTCAGCAGCTCTTAGAACAGAAGCTCCACTTAAAAATGAGGAAGCTGGTAGAAGTAATAGTCATGGGAGGTATCAGGATGTTCTGAGATTTTGGGGGGGAGTACTATGTGGAGGCATTAAGTGAGCAGCTAAACACGCAGGTCTGGAAATCTGGGGAAGGTTTGAAGATGGAGACATCAAAAATGTAATGGCTGCTGTGTGGGCTAAGGTGAATGGTTTCGGTCACTTTTAGGACAAGTGTTTTTTATGGTTATGGTGCTAAAAACTGTGCCAGGAAATGGGAAGATTAGTGGCTCAAGTCTGGCTTTCTTGCTTGGATACCTGGGTGATAGTATTGAAATACATTTGAGGGAGGTAAGTGGCCTCAGAAGGAGAATGTGTCAGGAACGGGACAGTCTGGCAGGTGGCCTAGGTTTCCAGTGGAAGGAATAGACATGAAGTGGATACAGCAGCTTAGGAGCAATGAAGGGGAGATGACCCTCAGGCCTGAGCTAGAGTTTATTCACCCACCACTCTGTGAATTCCACGAGGATTTATGGGGACTTCAGTGGGCCCTGAGCTACTGCTATTCACTCTTTTTCCAAATGCATCCCCCAGGTGGCCCTGTGTGCTGTGTGGTGTCCTCCGCTCCCAGGCTGTGCTATTAACTTTGTACAGTCAGGTGTTGGGTGTTTGGCCATCACTGTAACTCTAAGATGGGAATCTCACCCTCACCAGTGGGGTGAAGAGGAGGTGATTAAAACACAAGTAATGTAGGGAGGCCAGGAAGATGCCTTTGGTGTGGACCAGTGAAGTGGCGGTGATCATAGATACGGGGCTGTGGGATCCAGTCTCAAGAATTACATGTTCTTGGAGAGGGAGTATGCCTGATGACTCCAGGGGCCTGGGATCAAGACTTATGTGAACTTAGCCACACCAGTGGAATAGCCTGGCATGAGTGGGTGGACCCCTCTATGCAGGTCCAAAACTTGAATGTCTGCTTATCCACCTCCTTCCTCTTGCTGATGGCTGGACCTTGTCATCAGTGAGTCTGTGAGGAGACAGCAGCACCAATGGTACCAGGTCTTGGCTTGTCCTGAGTTGGGGAGATTGGGAGGAGGATGGGCACAGGGTTGATGTTTGGGGGAAGGGATTGTGGGTTCTCAGTAGAGGAACTTTTTGTGGTTTCATCTGTCCCCATCATGCCAGGGCAGGGTGACCTTTGAGGATGTGGCCGTGTACTTCTCCTTGGAGGAATGGGATCTCCTTAATGAGGCTCAGAGACATCTGTACCACGATGTGATGCTGGAGAACTTGGCACTTATAACCTCCTTGGGTAAGGTTTTTAAACTCACCCCTGTGCTGTGAGCTAGTAGTCTCTATCCTTCCCTTTTCCCCCAGGAACAGGCAGGCCTATCTACACAGCAGGACCATGGGCTCTGCTTCCCTAGTTCCCAGGGAAGGTGCTGTGGTTATTGGGCTGAGGTATGTGTACCACACTCTCCGTCCATGAGCAGCCCCAACACTTGTTCTGCAGACTTGGAGGGAAGGAATCAGGATCAGGAGTCTTCCAGTGAACCTAATGGATATCACTTTACTTGCCCTCTTGACAGAGTGACTTTATCCAAATCCAAGGCTCCTGTGTGCCCAGATTCTGCTTCCTTCCTCTAGCAGACACTTTCTCAGGTGTGCCTCTGCCAGGAATTGCCGTCACTAACATGGTGACTCCTCATGTGGCCCACAGGCTATTCTTGCAAAACCCTCTTTTGAAGTTTTCTGTAGTATTTAGCTTTCTGTTGCCAATCTTGTGCTGAGTTGTTTTGGACTAGTGCTGGCTCCTCATCTGTGCTATGTCCTTCCCTTAGTAGTTGTGTAAGTTGCCATAAATTTGCTCATTGATGGAGTTGGGTTGGGTTGGAAAGCAGTGGTTCTCAGGATTAGTATGGGTCCATCTATACAGAGCAAGATGGGCTCAGAAGGAGCCTGGCCCTGGAGAGTGTTATGCAGGGGGGAAGGCGTGATATCATTGCTGTGTTCAAATCATACCAGACACCTATTTGCAGAGTAGTATTTTGGTGCCAGTACATGTGGTCATATATGGTATCTAAACCATTTTTCTCACCATTCCGTCTACAGTGTGTTCCTCATTGGCTCCCGTGTATTGTATCTTGAAAAGTTTGTATATTCCTAAACAGTCCTTGAACACCAGCTTCCCTGCTATAGTTGTAGCTCCTTGGTTCTTAATATACCCTTCTACACCATTCATGTGTCACCAGTAGAGAAGTTCCTTTGGAAAGTTGGTAGTAGAGAAATGAACCGTAGACCCTGCTTCTCCTCTGTGTCACACTGCATGGTTATGTCCTTCACCTTGTGAAGCCTCCCCCATCCTGTGCTCTGTATAGCCCAATATTGCTAACCAGCCCCATCCTTAGCCTGAACCAACATCCTGGTCCTTCACATATGCCACAGACCTGCTCCTGAGTTTGTCAGACACGTACATGCACTGCTTCCTCTCACCAAAGCCAGCAGGCACTTCACCAGCACTTCTTGCTTTCAGGTTGTTGGCATGGAGCCCAGAATGAGAAGGTACCTTCTGAGCACCGTGATTCTTTACAAGGAGTGTCACAGGTCTGGACTCCCAAGGCAGGTGTGTCTCCCCAGAAGGCCCATCCTTGTGAGATATGTGGTATGAACTTGAGAGAGATTTTGCACTTGACCAAGCACCTGGGAACATGTCATGGGCAGAAACTGTGTAAGATAGAGGCATGTGAGAAGCAGTTGTATGTCAATGTGGAACTTCAGCATCAGAAGCAGCACACGGGAGAGAAGTACTTCAGGAGCGACATGGGCAGAGCCTTAGTTGTAAAGGACTGCAAATTCTGTATGTCAGGGAAACCCTTCTCCTATGGAGAGGCTGTGAAGGACTTCCTAGCCAGCTCAGGATTTCTCCAGCATCAGGCCACATGCACCAAGGAGAAGTCAAAGAGGAGAACTGAGTGTGGGGCAGCCTCTCACAGGGAAAAAACTATATGTAACTCTGGAGAATACACAAAAGACTTCAATTGCAAACGCACACTTGTTGAACACCGGAGAGTTTTCACTAGAGAAAGATGCTACATGTGCAGTGAATGTGGAAAGTCTTACAGCAAAAGCTATAGCCTCAATGACCATTGGAGAGTTCACACTGGGGAAAAGCCTTATGAGTGTGGGGAATGTGGGAAGTCCTTTAGGCAAAGCTCTAGCCTCATTCAACACCGGAGAGTTCACACTGGAGCAAGGCCTCATAAGTGTGACTTATGTGGAAAATTATTTAGCAACAAGTCCAACCTCATTAAACACCGAAGAATTCATACTGGAGAAAGGCCTTATGAGTGTAGTGAATGTGGGAAATCCTTTAGTGAAAGCTCTGCACTTCTTCAACACCGGAGTGTTCACACTGGAGAAAGGCCTTATGAGTGCAGTGAATGTGGGAAGTTTTTTACCTACCACTCCAGTCTCATAAAACACCAGAGAGTTCACTCTGGATCAAGGCCCTATGCATGCAGTGAATGTGGAAAATCTTTTACTCAAAACTCCAGCCTCATTGAACACCGCAGAGTTCATAGTGGAGAAAGGCCTTACAAATGCAGCGAATGTGGGAAATCTTTTAGCCAAAGCTCTGCGCTTCTTCAGCATCGGAGAGTCCACACTGGAGAAAGGCCTTATGAGTGCAGTGAATGTGGGAAGTTCTTTACTTACAGCTCCAGTCTCTTAAAACACCAGAGAGTTCACACTGGATCAAGGCCTTATGAGTGCAGTGAATGTGGGAAATCCTTTACTCAAAACTCTAGTCTCATCAAACACAGGAGAATTCACACTGGAGAAAGGCCTTATGAGTGTAGTAAATGTGGGAAATCTTTTAGCCATAGCTCCAGCCTCATTAAACACCAGAGAGTTCACATTGGATAAAGGCTTTAGGAGTATTGGAATGTGGGAAGTTATTTACCTTTAACCCCAGACTCCTAAAACGCCAGATCACATTGGATGAAAGTCTTGAGCATGGCATTGTGAGAAATCATTTATCAAAATCCAGCCTCATTACATCTAGAGCAGGGGTGTCAAACTCATTCTCACCTGGAGCCACATCAACCTCAAGGTTGCCTTCAAAGAGCCAAATGTAATTTTAGGACTGTGTAAATGTAATTACCCTGTAGCAGTTAAGTGAGAGCTTGGCGTTGCCACTGGTAGAAACAAGGTGCCGGGCTGGATAAAACAGGGTAGAGAGCCGGATTTGGCCTGTGGGCCTTATGTTTGCTACCTGTGATCTAGAGAATGACAGTGGAGAAAGGTCTTGTAAGTGCAGTGAATATGAGAAGGCATTCAGTCAAAGGACTTGCCGTATTGGATACTGCAGATTTAAAATGGAAGAGCTGCCTTAACTGCACAGGTATATACTATATCTTCCTTCAGTGAGCCATCACTGGAGGAGGTCCCTTATGAAGGTGCCATTTGCCTGTATTGAGCCTCATACACGTAAACATCAATATAAATTTCAGGTATGTGGGAATAGCATTGCCCTTTTTTTACCTGCCCAGGGCCATGGCCAGAGTTATGTCACTGGCAGTTTGTAACAGAAGCCATTTCATCTCTACCTCCTGACTGGAGCCCACAGTGTGCAACATTTATCCATCCCAAAATGTTCAGGGAGTAAGCCCCAGTGTGCTCTCATTTGCAGGATGATTCGCCAATAACCCGAGCACTTAACTCTTTTCCCAGTTTTTCCTTCTCTGATGAGTTAGTGCATGGATCTTCCCCAGTTTTGGCCTAGGGCACTGTTGGGACTACATTTTTCAGGGATATTGTTGGTTTCACGTGACTTCTGTAATGGCATTTTCCAGCCTCCAAGTCACCAACCCAGGAACTGTGCCTATCATTGCTCTTTTTTGTATGACAGTAAAGGTCTTTAATCTTGGGGGTTCTAGTCACTGTTCAGGGTGCTTTGAAATTAACTGGGTTTGTTAGAATGCAGGGGTGAACAGCTTTGGTTGGGATCCCAAACTGTGTGTCTCAGAGTGTATATATAATATGATGGTAGAATATACCTCTTCAGGTTTGGCCTAGTTTGCATTGCTGCTCAGAGCCTTTAAGGAAAGACTGCAGAGCTTTGGGCTCCTATTTTGCAGCTTGGATGCCATGACTTTTGTCGGTTCAGAGTTCAGCCTGAGGAGGGGGTCCTTGTGACAACCCTCGGTGCTTCTAAGAGCAGTGTGAACTTGTTTTCTTGTTCACAGGGGCGAGAGGACATCTGTCCCGCAGGTCCTGCAGTGGAGCCGTGGGCCGTGATGTCCTGAATTCTGTGGGATAATGTCACTGGTTTTAAGATTATGGGGTCCAGGAGAATGATTGTTGTTACAGGAACACTGGATTAATAGAGTGCAGGAAACTGCCATAAACTGGTTAGCAGGTTCTGCCTTTATTCATTTGTGGACCTCCTCTGAAAGGTCCACAATGTTTAGTACCTATAGCTGAGAAGGATGAGCAGGTACAGATGTTCTCAGGCCCTCCAGGAACTATGTATCTTGTGTAGCTAAGGGTCCTATCAGAGAAAATGTAAAGGTTTGGTGGGTTTCTGTGGCCCCTCTGGGCTGTTCACGTAAGGTCACCACTGTGCAGAAACACAGGAAAGGAGATCTCAGTTCAGTATTTGTGACCTGGTCGGCATTCCTGTGAGTAAAGTGGAAACACCCTTCAGTGTTCACCTATTTTTGCTGCCACTCAGGCAACTGTCCGCCTCATGAGGAGAGAGGATGTGGAGTCAGTTCAGTTGCCAAACCTGATTTTCTAAAGGGTAAGAAAATCCAGCCTTTAATTTGAACCTATTTTTCAAGTTTTAATAAGGTATAAACAACATGCAATAACTTATCCATATTGAAACTGTATAATTAGATAAGTTTTGACATTCATGTAAACCCCTTAACCATCAAACATAATAATAAATTTTTTCATCACCCCTATATTTACCTTGTGTCCTTTAATAATCACTGTCTTCCAGGTTTGTCTTCCAGCCACAGATTTGTATTTGTAATAATAGACTGGTTTGCATTTTCTAAAATTTTATGATTGAAATCATAAAGTGTTTAGTCCTCTCCTTGGTGCCCTCATGTGACATATTTATTTTGAGAATCATCAGTGTTGCTTATTTGAGTAGTTTATTCTTTTTATATTGTTCACAAGCATGGTATATTGATGTACCACCATTCATCTGCTCATGGGTATTATAGTTGTTTCTAATTTTGGGCATTGCAAAAATTGGACAAAGTTCATATCGATATGTTTCCTTTCTCATGTTAATACCATGACGTGCAATACCCAAGTCGGAGTGTATTCACTTTAAACACCAAACTGTCATCTAAAATGATTGTTCCTTTTGTATTTTTACCAGCAGTGTATATGGGTTCCAGTTCTCTCATGGCCTTGCTAATAGTGCATAGGCCTTATCTTTTAAAATGTTGATCCTTTTAGTAAATGTGTAGAGGTATCTCTGATTTTGCATGTCCCTGGTATTTCATGATGCTGAGCATAGCTAATGTGCAAAAAATATGGGGGAATGGTGATTATATTAAATGGTATGAAAGAAATCAACAAACCAACTTTAGATAGTGGCAAATTCTAATGGACACATAAATGGGTTAGCACCTTCACAAATGTGTAACTTCAGTCACTAAATGCCGTATAACTTGAGTTCATACAGTTTTAAATTTCTTCCATTATTTCAAGGCAGAGCTCCTTATGGCCCGCTGCTTTCCCTTCTGGTGGACTCCCCTTGTAGACGCCCCCTCCCCTTTGAGTCAGCTTCACCTAGACTCCGCTCTGCCCTCAACCCCATCCCTCTCCTCTCTCATTTCAGGATTCATCTGAGAGGAAAGTCTATTATTCTCTGCTCTCCCACTGTGAGCACGAGACTTGGTCCAAGCATCAGGGACCCTCCCCAGAATTCCCAACCTGTGAATCCAGTTGTCCATATGCCACCTCCACCTTTGGGACATCTCAGATTCACCAGGTCCAAGGTCCAACTCCTGATACTACCCCCGAATCCTTATTCCTACTGCCAAATTACCCATCTCCATTCTTCTAGATGTTCATGCAAAAAAAATCTGGGGTGGTTATTTCCTTCTTACCATCATTCACAGCCACATCTGAATAGCAGGAAAACCTATCAGTTCTGTCTTTAAGGTCTATCAAGAATCTGCACTTATCCGCACTCTACTCCCACCTCTCTGGCCCACCTCAAATGGACTAGTAAGCCAGGACAAAAGGTATAGGGAAACTGAGACAGTTAAACTCCCAAGGAGTTTACAGCCTTCTTGGTAAATTGCACAATCCTATCTTGTCTAGTCAAGGACACTTAGGAGTCAATGGTTTATACTTCTCCCCAACCAGAGGTTAAATAGCTTAAATTACCCTACTCAGGGAGAGAGATAGCAGAAATGCAATTAGTGCCATTTGCCAACCACCTCTAAGGACAGAGGAAGTTAAGGGGATAAATCTCATTTGGGCCTATCAGCACAAAGCTGGTGAATACCCTATTGAAATCCACATTACCCTCCCTAAACTCCCAGCCTTTAAAAACCCTCAAAATGAGGGACCCATTGTGCATTATCCCTCCAGGTGGCACACCCATGCCTTTCCCTCCCACCTCTTCTTCACCTAAACGCTAAGGGACTCCATGAGACTTGGAACAAGGGAGCAATGGACAGCAGTGGCTGGCCCAGGCTAACCCCCTGAACCTGCCTCCATGGACCCTTTTCTCTGACTTCTCAGTGAGCCAAAGCAGCCGCACCTAGGCTCGCTTTCCTTCTCCTGTTGCTTGTGTAAGTCATTCTTTCTTTCACTGTCCCCAGCTTTAATAAATGTACTCTCAAAAGTCACCTGGACTCATGAAGTCTTCCCTGCATGAAGTCAAGAAACCTACACACTGCCATGGCTGGTGTGGCTCCGGGGATTGAGTGGTCCCCAGTTGGGGACATGCAAGAGGCAACCACACATAGAGGTTTCTCTCCTTCTTTCTCCCTTCCTTCCCTTCTCTCCAGAAATCAGTAAAATCTTTAAGAAAACAGACCCCCACACACTACAGGCCAATCTGCTCCACCAACACTAAAACTTTTAAGTGGCCTCCTTACTAGTTTATTTCTTCCCCTCTACCATCATGATAGAGGGGAAGTCTACCATACTTCTCCCTGAGCAACATTTGGAATACTTTTAAAATCACAATTTAAAAAAAAAAAGAAAATCTTAACTCAGATTCTCTCTGTTCCAACTTCCATAGCTCACAGGAACCCCACAGTGGCTGCTTGAGCTGCCATGGCAGGCACACTGCCTCCCTGCACACACGAGTGGGACCCCAAGTTTCCTGACTGCTCTGGGCTCATTGCATACCTCCAAGACTTTGTGCTTGCTGTTCACTCCACCTGCAACACTTGTCCACACTTCATACTGTGTTTCAGAAATGGGGACCCCACCCAGAAACACCTTACTGGTCTGGAGATGGGTCTGAACTGCAGTGACCTGAGCAAGGGGGTCTTCGAGATTTGGGTGGAATGCAGTCTGGTGCATTAGCACAGCCATGGCCCTGAAGGTGGAGCAGTTTCAGGGAGCTCAAGCTGGGCAGCAGGTGACCCAGGTGACAAGACCTCTTGCTCTGCTGCTGCTGTATCTCAGTTCAACCCACTGACCAGGTGAACAGGATCCAAAGCAGCTGAAATGAAACCGTCCCAAGGAAGACACCAGAAGTCTCACTTCCAAATGGTTCACTCACAGAAACAATCCTCTTCCAGGCTTTCCTAAGTCTAGCACTGTTGGGCACTTAAGGCACACATTCTTTTGGGAAATACAGTTGCTGTTATGGAGACAGCCACTGGGAGGGGCGCCCTATCCTGGCCTCCTGTGTACTGGATAAGTAGTAAGAAAAAATACACTAAAACTCACCCTGGCTTCTGTGGGTCAGTGAAAAATACACCAAATCTAGAGGGGCAAAGCCTACCCATATGTAAAGAGAAAGAACAGGATCTATTTCGCATCCTTCAACATAAAAGTGGATGCAGCATTACCTTACATTTAAAATGTGTAGCTCAGTTGGTTAGAGCAGTATCGTGATAAGCCAAGGTTGTGGGTTCAATGCCTTGTAAGTGAGGGCACTTACAAGGATCAACCACTGAATGCATAAATAAGTGGAACAAATCAATATTTCTCTTCCTCTCTAAAATCAATAAAAAATACAGAGAGTTGGCACAGTCCTTCACTTTCTTTTTTACTATGTATTTTGCCTATATAAAGAATACCTTGATGAAAATTTTGGAGAGAATATTCAAATAAGATTAAGTCAATAGGTTTTTGGAATAAAAATGGAAAGGTAACATGTTGGTAGGTTTCATTTTGGGCTAAAATTTTAAAAATATTCATAGATATCTATTGTTGACAGTCTTAACTTACATTACTTAGTGGTGTTGCCAAACAAAATAACTATTATTTGGGGGCTTATAATACTAGAAATATAAAAATTCCACATTGTTTTATAAGTCTGAAGTAGCTTCTAAGTACCATAAGGCAAAAACTGACAATAATTGCTTTAATATGTAAAGTTGGAAATAATTTCTTGAAAAGCTATAAAGCATATTATAAATCTACATTAAGTAAGGTGTCTTTTTTAAAAATTTAGATTTTTAAAAAAGATTTCACTTATTTCTTTTTAGAGAGGGGAAGGGAAGGAGAAAGAAAGGGAGAGAAACATAAGTGTGTGGTTGCCTCTCACGCAACCCAGTATGTATGGAATACTTGTGGACATGACCCACAACCTAGGCATGTGGCCTAGACTGGGAATTAAACCAGCAACTCTTTGGTGCACAGGCCAGTGCTCAATCCACTGAGCCACACCAGCCAGGGCCAAGTAAAGTGTCTTAATGGCATGGAGTTTAGCTTAAAAAGTAGTAGAACACACTATAGATTCATGATTTACAACTGTGGTGGTGTTTACGAAATAACGGGGAATGGCAGTTTTTAAATAAAATTTTCTGGGGCCATGTGGTATATAAATTTTAATTTTTACCAAAGTGCTTCTAGTATTAAAACATAAAAATTAAAATAACAAGCCACATGCTTGAGAAAATGTTTGAATCCTCTATAATTGCTAGTAAGTAAATAAATCTAATAAATCCTGCAAGTTGAAGAGAAAAAATTCAAATGAAAATGAGTGCAGAAAGCATGTAGTCACTTTAGAAGCATTCCAAATGGAAATTATTTTTACTTATTTATTTAATTTTTTAAAATTTAATTTATTTATCTTTAGAAGGGAAGGGAAGAAGACAAGGAGAGAAATATCAATGTATGGTTGCTTCTGGTGCATCCCCTGCTGGGAACTGGCCCCTGCTGGGAACTGGCCTGCAACCCAGGCATGTGCCCTGACTGGGAATTGAACGGCGATCTTTTGGTTCACAGGCCCACGCTCAATCCACTGAGCTACACCAGCCAGGGCTATTTATTTATTTTTATTTAAGGAAAATTACTTTTAAAAATGGATTTGAGAGGGAGGGAGAAACAGCAATTTGTTGTCTCGCTTATTTATGCATTCACTGGTTGATTCCTGTATGTACCCTGACTAGGGGCTGAACCTGCAACCTTGGCATATCTGGATAATGCTTTAACCCACCTGAGCTATCCTGCCAGGGCCCAAAGGACAATCTTAAAAAGGAAAAAAAATCCACCCACTGGCAACCAGGAAAGTGCAAATTAAAACCAAAGTCATCAGCCCTGAAGGATGTGGGTTGGTTGGGCATCATCCCACAAACTGAAAGCTTGTGGGCTCAATTCCCAGTGAGGGCACATAAAATATTTTAAAAACAAACAAAGAGAAAACTTGTAAATTATTTAGATTAGTGGCAGGCATTAAAAATTTAGAGTGCTTTTTCTTCAAGGTTAATTGATATCCAACATGTTTTTTAATGATTATGACCCACAGTTTGCATCTAAACAGAAAAACTGAAATGTAAAGTAGTGCAACTACTCAATAATTCATAAGATCATCGATACATTCTTTTTCTCTCTTAATTTTTAAAAAGATTTTATTTCTTTTTAGAGAGGGGAAGGGAGGGAGAAAAAGAGGGAGAGAAACATCAATGTGTGGTTGCCTCTTGAGCGCCCCCTACTGGGTAGGGCAACCGGGCAACCCAGGCCTATATCCCCAACTTGACTGGGAATCAAACAAACCAGCGACCCTTTGGTTTGCAAGCCCAGCAGTCAATCTACTGAGCCACTACTGAGCAGTCAATCTAACCAGGGCCATAATGGAATGTCTATATTTTAGTTTAAAAATAAATTCATTTAGTTTAATTAGTTCCATATGTAACACCCAAATATGTCGGGATCGTGATTTGAATAGAACCTTTTCAAATACTTGCATTTATATGTAATCATACCTTCAAAAAATGTGATTGTGCTCTGGCTGGTGTGGCTCAATGGAGTGAGCACCAGCCTGGGATCCAGAAGGTCTGTGGTTCAATTCCCAATCAGTACACTCACTTGGGTTGCTGGCCAGGTCCCCAGTTGGGGACACATATCAGTGTTTCTTTCCCTCTTTTTCTCCCTCCCTTCCCTTCTTTCTAAAAATAATAAACAAACAAACAAACAAATAAATAAATATCTTTTAGAAGAGAAATGTGATTGTTATACTGCTCTAACTTATTTTTAATGTATATATCACCAATAAGTTTCCATCATAAGTACATACAGAAGTTGTTCAATTCCTAAATTGTTTTATTGTCTGAATAAAATTTAATGTGCTTACACCTCCCCTCTTGATGTACCTCGTTTTCACTTAGCAGCAAACTAAATACTATACAAAAACATTTTGTATAGAAATACATAGGAACACACAGGCACACACACACAGTGGTACCTGAATGTGCTGACAGAATTATAAAAGGACATCAAGCTGCCAACACCGTTTTTCTCTAGCAGTTAGAATTCTCATACTTTTCAGTCTTTTATAAAATGTCCATAGAGTAGCACTGCTTCATAAACAAATTAACTTTACATTTTACATCTTAAAATATTAAACTCTTTCATTGTGTATCAGGAAAAAGAATATGCGTACATAAAATAGTTTTATGTTTTGTAGGTAAAACTATTTTATGTTTGTGGATAACAGCATTTCTTACTGTGTTGGGCCCAATCACTGAGATTGGAGAGATGTGTTCTGTGAGTACCAAAGGTCCAGATCCCCCCTTGTTCATCGCTGCCCATTACTGTCTTCTCCATCTTGTTCCTTGTATGGTGTCTTCTTTTGTCTCAGACGGAACTTACTGAAGCTCACAAAAATGACGTTAAAGCTTCACGCATACTGCGTATGAGGAGGAATAAGATCCTGTTTATTTGCTTCCAGCTACCAGTGGGTGTCGACTTGGGTGGGCCTCAGTGGAGTCTTAAAGTCTAAACACTTCAGGGGTCGATAGCCCCCAAAGCTGCCCTTTTATTCCAGCGGGAGCAAAGCCTCCCACTGGTCCTACAACGGTGGTGAGGTCATTTCCCAGCGGCCACGCCATACTCCGTAACCATTTTTCTGGGAGTCTGGCGGGGGGATTCCAGCGGGGTGAGGCTGTGGGAACTACATTACCCAGAGAGCCGTGCGCTGAGCAGCCGCGCGGTCAAGCGAATGACTGTCGAGGAAAGGGGTATTTTCTTGGGGGCTATCTCATTGGGGCGGGGCTTCCGGACTGCTCCAGGCGGTCATTTTAGCGGCTCTCGGGCTGGTTCGCAAACTCAGAAGCTCCGGTTCCGGCTCCTATCGGTCCCGTTGGAGGTGACGGACAGACAAAGCCCGAGAGGAGGTTTTGCGTCCACTTGCACAGCCGCTGGTTGAGGGTAGGGGACATCGCTGCCTGCGAGGCCGACCTCGAGACGTCTGTTCAGGGGCCCCCCCGCGGAGCTCGGCTGTCAATAGTCCACTTGGCCCCGCGAGTCCGCCGGCGGCGGCGGCCTCGCTGAGGTGAGTGCACTTGTTCCGGACCCGCCCCCTCGTCCCCACCGAGCCCTGCAGCCCAGTCCCCGGCGTTCGGACCGTGAGGCGCTTGTGGGTGATACCCGTTGTGACGAGGTGGGAGAGGGCGACGGATGTGGGGCCGAGACGCACAGGGGAGGCTGGAAGCGGGGAGATTCGGGACCCTGATGCCCTTCTTGCTTCTGCAGGAAACTAAGTTTGGGTAGAGTCGCACCTGCAACGGCAGCCTGGGGAGTTAGTTCTATCTGCCTTCCTAAGGCTCTAGTTGCCACGGAGAACTTTGAGGAAGAGAGACATCTAAAGAGTTTGAAAAATTCCCCCCACCCCCCAAAGTCTGCTCAGTATAAAAACAGACTGTAGGTCCTGACCAGGTGGCTCAATTGGTTTGAGCGTCGTGCCGTGCACCAAAAGATCATTGGTTGGATCCCCAATCAGGGCACATGCCTGGGCTATGGGTTTGATCCCTGGTCCAGTGGGTCTGGGAGGCACCCGGTGGGTATTTCTAATACTTCAAGGTTTCTCTCCCTCTCTCTCTCTTAAAAAAAAAAAAATCAATAAGTATCTTCGGGTGATGATTTTAAAAATCAAGAAAAAAAGAGAATAGACTAGGGGTTATGAAGACACTGAGACAGAGGGAGGTTTAGTCTTTTTCCAAGGACACACAGTTAGTGAGAGGCATTACAGAGGTTAGACAGTTTCCCCAGGCTACCTGCTCTGGTATAGGGAAGGCCCATATCCCTGAAACCTTGCCATGGTGACGTCTCTTTAAGATCTAACTCTTCCCGCAGGTTTCCATGGCTGCAGAGGTGCTTTTGGAGCCTACACAGGTAAGTGGAGGTGTCTCAGACCCTCGTTGGTGCCAATACACATTTTCTCTGGATTTGTGGTGTCATGAGTCTCTTCATCTGCCATTCCTCCAGCCCTTGGTTTGAAGACCCTGGAGAATTCCCACTGGAGCTCAGGGTCTTGAGTCTAGGTCAGCGGTTATGTGGAGGGGTTTTCATTTTGAGCCATCAATGGAAAGAAATATGGAAGTTTATCACAAAAACAGGTAATAGTATGTGCAACTGCTTGGAGGTGAGGTGGTTCAGGAAATTTCAGGTCTCCTTTCTCGTGGGAATGAAAGAAGAAGGGGGCAAGAGTCGGGCTTGGAATGACTGCCCTAGAAGTTGGGCATTTATTCTGGAGCCAGTAGGAGGCCTGGATAAGAGGAGGAAGGTGATCTTACCTGGGTCTTAAAGGGCTCCATCCGTTAAAGAGTGGAACACAGTGAACATAATGATTAAAGGGAAGTTGAAGAGAGAGAAGACACCAATGGCCCCAGGATCTAGTATCTCCCCTGATTTGGGGATCTTGGGAGAAGGATGGAAATGAGGTAGATGTGTGGGGAGATGTATTGTGCATCTTCAAGAGTAAGATCATTCATGGTTTTATTTGTCCTGGCAGGGATGTGTGACCTTTGAGGACGTGGCCCTTTATTTCTCCTGGGAGGAATGGAAACTCCTTGATGAGACTCAGAGATGCTTGTACCAGCATGTGATGCTTGAGAACTTCGCACTTACATCCTCTCTGGGTAAGACTCTCACATCCACCCCTGTGCCCTGATTGAGTTTCTGTCTTTCTTTCTTCCCCACGGGCAACTTTGCCTTTTTCACATCTAAACCATATACACTGCTTCCTTCCCCATTTTCATGGGTATGTGCAGTGCTTACTGTGCCTAGGCTGAAGGCAAGCCTGCTTCTCTTCGTTTACCACCCCAACACCCACTTCCCCAAAGCCTTACAGGGAAGGATTCAGGGATCAGTAATCTTGATGTTAGCCTAATGGATCCCACCTGTCTTGCTCTCTCCCTTGCTGAGTGACTGTCTAGATCCATGGCACCCTAGTTGCTCTTTCCTATACCTGACATTGTATTCAAGCTTGACTGCCAGGAATTTTAGTCACTAATATGGTGACTTGTTTCAAAGACTGTTCTTGTGAGATTTTCCTCCAAGATTCTTTTTTTAAAATTTTAAATAAAAAATATATAACAAAAAATGCTATTTCTAAGTGGCATTTAGTACCTTTTCATCATTGGGCAAGTATCACAATCATGCATCCACAGAATATAATCTTGCAAATTGAAATTCTCCACATTAGACAGTACTTCCCCATCCATTGGCAACCACAATTCACTTTCTACCTCTATGAACTTGACTCCTTAAAGTATCTTATATGCATAGAATCGTACACTAATTATACTTCTGTGTCTGGTTTTTTTTTTTTACTTAGCATAATATTGCCCAGAGGTGTCCAACCTGTGGCCCTCAGGCTGTGTGTGCCTAAGAATGGCTATGAATGCAGCCCAACACAAAATTGTAAATTTACTTAAAACATTATGAGAGTTTTTTGTGATTATGTGTCACAGTGTATTTAAATGTATAACCCAAGACAGCTCTTCTTCCAATGTGGCCCAGAGATGCCAAAAGATTGGGCACCCCTGTAAGGTTCATTTGTGTTGTAGCATGTGTGAGAATTTCCTTTATTTTTAAGACCAAATAGTATTCTATTGTATGTCTGTACCATATTTTGTTTATCCATTCATCCACTGATGATCACTTGGCTCTTAAGAAAAATGTTGATATGAATATAGGTATACAAATTCATGTCCCTGCTTCAATTCTTTTGGATAATATCTGGAACTGGAATTGCTATATCATAGGATAATTCTAGTTTTTTAATTCTTTGAGGAACCACCATACTGTTTTCCATATCCATATTTTCTATTTATCTTTAGAAGGGAAGGGAAGGAGAGAAGGAGAGAAATATCAATGTGTGGTTGCTTCTGGTGTATCCCCTGCTGGGAACTGGCCCCTGCTGGGAACTGGCCTGCAACCCAGGCATGTTCCCTGACAGGGAATCAAACTGCGATCTTTTGGTTCGCAGGCCCATGCTCAATCCACTGAGTTACACCAGCCAGGGCCATGTCCATATTTTCATGTACCATTTTATATTCCCGCCAGCAGTACACAGAGGTCCTAATTTCTCTCTCCTTGCTAGTATTTATTTTGTGTGTTTTTAAAAAGAATAAATAGCCATCCTAATGGGTAAGTTGTATTTTATTGTAGTTTTTATTTACATTTTCTTAATAATTAGTGATGTTGAGCACCTTTTATGTGCTTATTGGCCATTTGTATATCTTCTTTAGAGAAATATCTATTCAAGTCTCTTGCCACCACCACCCTTTTTTTTTTAAAAGATTTTATTTATTTAGGCCCTGATTGGTGTGGCTCAGTGAATTGAGTGCTGGTCTGCAAAGCAAAGGGTCACTGGTTCAATTCCCAGTCAGGGTACATGCCTGAGTTGCAGGCCAGGTCCCCAGCAGGGGGTGCGCACAAGGTAACTACCATTGAGGTTTCTCTCCCTCCCTCTCTCTCCCTTCCCCTCTCTCTAAAAATAAATAAAAAATTTTTAAAAGACCTGCATATGGAGGATGTTGGTCTTCTTCATGGTATCTTATAGGTCCTTATGCTCTGTTCACTTTTGTGCAATATTTTTATTTTCTGTTCCTCATATTTGGTATCTTTGTTTACTGACTGGTTTTCTGTTTGCTCAAACCTGCTTTTGAATCCCTCTAGTGATTTTTTTCATTTGTTATTATACATTTCAGTTCCAAAATTTTTTCTTGATTCTTTTTTATGTTTCCTATCTCTTTACTGATATTTCCATTTTGCTCTGCAACACTTTCTTGACTTCGTCCACATTTTCTTTTAGTTCTTTTAGCATCTTTTAGACAGTTGTTTTAAAATCTTTGTCTAAGAAGTACATTATCTGGTTCTTCTCAAGGTAATTTTCACTTGATTTTTTTCCCTTAAATTGGGCCATACTTTCCTATTGCTTCATATGATCTTTTATTTTTATGCTGAGAACTGGACATGTATCTTACCATGTGGCAACTCAAGAAATCTGATCCCCATCCTCTAGGATTTGCTGGGAGGGGGGTGGTTTTGTTTGTTTGTTATTTTATGGTTGTAGGTTGTCTTTGTGCTGGAGATCAGTCTGAGGTGTGAACTTTAAGGTCTTCTTGGTTTTTTTTCCTGAACCTGTGTTTTCCCCTGGGTGTGCATGATAGCTTTCTAAATTTCCCCATATGATTGAGTTTGAATGTCCTAGTCCTTTAAATTCTGTCTCCCAACAGAGGAATAAGAAAAAAATAAAAGAAAAGGGGATGGAGGGAATAGATACCTACCTTTTAAATTCCCTGCAAAGTCAGTTCAGCCAGTGAGGTAGGTAAGAGCTTTCCAACAATGGTGGTATGGTTTGCAACAATGGCTACCCACCTTTCTGTTGTACCTCCACCATCAAAAGCAGAATTGAACCCTGGCTGGTGTTGCCCAGTGGATTGAGCGCCAGGCTACAAACTGAAGGGTGGTTGCTGGTTCAGTTCCCAGTCAGGGCACATGGCTGGGTTGAAGGCCAGGTGCCCAACAGGGGGTGCTCGAGAGGCAACCACACATTAATGTTTCTCTCCCTCTCTTTTTTCTTTCCTTTTTCTAAAAAAGATAAATACATATATATATATATATATATATATATATATATATATATATATATATATATATTTTAATGCAGAAATGAGAGCACAGATCCCAGAGGACAGGGATCCTGGTTTGTGCAAGCTGCTCCAGTTACATGTTCATGACTCCCTGCCTCTGGGCTTGGGGTGAGGAATTGTGTGAGTTAGGGGATGGATAGCTGATACCACCTAACAGTTGAAATTGATCAGAATTAAATCAATTTAATATGTTGTAAGCCTTCTGTGGGCTCTAGAGTTGCAAAATATTTATGGTCGTCTTGATTCTATCAGTTCAGTTGTTGTCTAGGTAGGGAGACGGATTCCTGGTGCTTACTACTCTGCCATCTTCTCTCTTTTTGTGCCCAGAGGTATTTTTTTTGTAGTATTTAAATATCATTCCTGTGATCTGTTGTGTTTGAGTTGTTCTGGGCCCGTATTGGCCATTGACCTGTCCTGTCTTACCTTTAGGAATCAAATCATCCAGGTTCCATGCAGTTGCTCAGCTGGGGCTAAGGGAGGAGTCTCTATGTTTCACAGTATGGACATGACTCCAGTCTCAACAAGAGGAGCTCAGGGAGGGGCCTGATTGAGGTGAATAGCAATTGGAGGATGTGACGTTAGGGCTTTGTTCACATCATAATTGGAACCTATCATGTTTGACTTACATTTTGGTGCCATTTCATTATAAGTGGTCACCTTATATCTACCTTCCGTTGTCCAATCTTGACTCTGTGCTGACTTACGTATCATTTTTATTCTCAGTCCATCCCTGGAGCTAATCCCCATTCTCTGGACTGCTTATCTCACTCAATCCTCGCATTATATCTTCCACAGTGCTTTCCAGTGTTGTTCTATCCTAAAGTGTATACATACCTTTTAATAATCCTTGACACCAGTTACTTGGTTCTATTCAAATTTTCTTGCGCCTGGATATAGATTTCCTGCACAGCATTACATGTCACCAGCAGGTAGAATCCTGCTCAAAGCCATGGACAGAAGAACGACTTATAGAACATGCTTTTCATCCCAGGACCACACCCTTGCCTTATGTTCTGTGCCTGATAAGGCCTGCCCAATTTTGTAACCTTAGTGACCCAGTAGTACATGGCAACTGCTTCATCAATCTGATCCCAACTCCCTTTTCCTGAAAACAGCTTCATGGACTGGTTTCTAATGTGTCAGATGTACATTTGTGATGGTTTGCCCCCTCCCAATAAAGTTAACATGTACTTCACCGTCACTTCTGTGCTTTCAGGCTGTTGGAGTGGAATGGAAGGTGATGTACCTTCTGAACAGAGCATTTATTTAGAAGAAGCATCACAGAGCAGGACTTTTAAAGCAGGTTCAGATCTCCAGAAGATCCATCTCTTTGAGATGTGTGGCCCAATCCTGAAAGATGTTTCGCACTTGGCTGAGCATCAGGGAACACATCTTGGGCAGAAAACATATACATGTGAGAAACTGTTCTTCATGGCCAACCTTAAACAGTACAGGGAGCAACACGTTAGAAGTTCTGTGGACAGAGCTTTGTGTACAAAGATCTGCAGAGTCTGTGCATCAGAGAAGCCCTTTATCTGTGGGGAGATTGGGAAGGACTTTTTAGCCAGCCTACAGTTTTTTCATCAACAGATCTCTCACACTGGGGAGAAGCCAAAGAACAGTAATGAATGTGAGGCTGCCTTTCACAATGGAAAAAGTCTTCACAGCTGGGGAGAATGCAAGAAAGCCTTTAGCTGCACAGACACACTCGCTCAGATCCAGAGAGTCGTCACTCAAGAAGGGCTTTATGAATGCAGTAAATGTGGAAAAGCCTGTACCCGAAGATGTAACCTCATTCAGCACCAGAAAGTTCACAGTGGAGAAAGGCCTATTTATTGACTGCAGTGAATGTGGGAAATCCTTTAACTGCAAATCTAACCTTATTAAACACCTGAGAGTCCACACGGGAGAAAGGCCTTATGAGTGTGGGGAATGTGGCAAATTCTTTAGCCAAAGCTCAAGCCTCATTCAACACCGGAGAGTTCACACTGGAAAAAAGTCTCATGAGTGCATTGAATGTGGCAAATCCTTTAGCTGCAAATCTGACCTCATTCAACACCACAGACTTCACACTAGAGAAAGACCTTAGATGTATAGGGAATATGCAATTTCCTTTTAGTATAATTACACTGGAGGAGAGAACTTGTGAGAGAGCCATTTACCTGAATTACAACCCATACATCAGAAAATCCACAGTGGAAAGATTTTATTTAAATTCTGGGTGTAGGAATCTTTAAGAAACTGTTTTATACTTTCTGACCTGCCCAGGGCCCTTGCTAGATATATGTCACTGCCCATTTCTATGGCAGAATTCATTTCACCTGTACCACCTGGCAGGTCCATACAGTGTGCATCAGTCACCACCCTAACCATCTCAGGGAAGTGGAGCTCTAGGTACTCCCCATTTGCTGGAGAAAATCCTGTGTAGTCTTCACCCTTCCAGGGTTCTTATTCCTCTCTCTTTTATAAGTTAGGATATGGACCTCACTCAATTTTGGCCCACTGGACCAGATCAGAGTTTTCCTGGTGACTTTGTCAAGAAGACTATGTTTATAAGGACGTGTTAACTTCATATGACACTTACTTGGATTTTCCCAGCTTCCAAGTTACCAACCTGTAAACTACCTGCCACTTATTGCCTTGGATTTTGCAAGAATAAAGGCATTATTGTTTAATCCACTTTTGACTTTGGGGTTGTATTTACTGTGTGAGCTGGTTTGAAAAGAGTTTGGCTCTGCCAGCTGAAGGAGTAGAACATTTGTCATGGGGGTTCAAAGCTTGGTATGCCTCAGAGATAACAGAATGATGGAAGAATATTCCTCTCTATACATTGTTGACTAAGGTCTCCTAGAAAAGATCTTGGGGCTTTGTGGTCCTTTGTACATGGGGTGTCAGAATGTTTTTGGTGGGCTATGGAAACACCCGGAGGAGTCAGGAAGTTGTGGCAGCCTCAAGTGCTTCTGGGAACAACATGAATTGTTTCTCTTGTTCACAGTAGATATCATATAATGTTCAGCAGTGTTGAGGGGAATCTATACCCCAGGTCCTACACAGGAGCCATGTGTCCTGATACCCAGAATTCACTGGGCTAGGATCATAAGGGTACAAGGCTCTAGGGGGTGGGGGAGGTGGGCGGGGCATAATTGCTACAGTAACACTGGAGAGGAGGAGACTACAGCAAAGTAGATGGGATGTGCCCCCGCTAAAATTTCATCAAAAATATCCCAGGACCTTCAAGCATGCATGCCTTTTGTAGCTGAATTCCTTTTCAAAGAAAATAAGCTATTGGTTTTGTGGATTCCTGCAGACTTCATGGGATGATAACTGAAAAGCTATTGCTACACAGGCAGAAAAATAAACAGTTTGAAATGAAATCCCTTTGTTCAGTGATGTTGCTCTGTGACCTAGCCAGCATTTCTGTTGACTTAGGTGGAAATAGATTTCAATGCTCATCAATTTGCTACCACTAAGGCAAGGCTGTTCCTCCGAGGACATCAGAAAAGAGTCGATATATGATCAACAAGCCTGATTTTCTGAAAATAGTGGGAAATCTAGATTTGTCTTTTGAACCAATTTATAATTCTTTTTTCAGGTATAGTTGACATGCAGTATAGTGCACCTATGTGAAATGTATAATTTGCTAAATTTTGACATAATATACAAACCCATGAAACTTTATTATAATCATGAAGTGTCCATCACCTCTACTTCGTTTCATTTTATAATCTGACCCTCTCCTCCCCAGGCCTCCAGGCAACCATTGATTTCCCTTTATTTATAATAAATTAGTTTGTATTTTATATGGTTTGATTTGTACAAAGATTCTTTTTTATGGTTTTATTCCTGGTTATTTTGAAATTTTTCAATAATGCTTATATGAGCCGCTCTTTTTATTACTGAGTCGTATCTTATTTATGGATAGATCATTTGTTTGTGTATTCATCTGTTTGTGCACTTGGGTTACTTCTAGTTTTGACTATTGCATATAATGCTGCTAGAATATTTGTATATGGCTCTGGCTGGTGTGGCTCAGTGGATTGAATGCTGGTCTGTGAACCAAAGGGTCACCAGTTCAATTCCTAGTCAGGGCACATGGCTGCGTTGCAGGCCAGGTCCCCAGTAGGGGGCGCGTGAGAGGCAACCACACATTGGTGTTTCTCTCCTTCTCTTTCTCCCTCCCTTCCCCTCTCTAAAACTAAATAAAATAAAATCTTTTTTTAAAAAGGCCCTGGCTAGTGTGGCTCAGTGGGTTGAGTGTCTGCCTGGGAACCAAAGGACTGCCAGTTTGATTCCTTGTCAGGGCACATGCCTGTGTTACGGGCCAGGTCCCCAGTGGAGACTACTTGAGAGGCAACCACACACTGATGCTTTTCTCCCTCACTTTCTCCCTTCTTTTCTTTACCTTTAAGAATAAGTAAATAAAATCTTTAAAAAAAAAAAGAATGTTTGTATGTGATACTTTATATGTACATTTATGCTTCACGTTTCCCGTGTTAGAAAATCAAAGTGTAATGTCTGAATCATAGGATAGCCGGATGTTTAAATTAAGAAATTTCTAAATTGTGATCCGAAATGGTTATTCACTTTTGTGTACCCACCAGGAGCATATGAGAATTCCAGTTTTTTTTAAAGGTTTTATCCATTTATTTTTAGAGGTGGGGGTGGTGGGGGAGAAAGAGAAGGAAACATCAATGGGTGGTTGCCTCCCATGCGCCCCTCTACTGGGGACCTGGCCTGCAACCCAAGCATGTGCCCTGACTGGGAACTGAACTGGTGACCCTTTGGTTCACAGTCCAGTACTCAATCCACTGAGCCACACAAGCCAGGGCAAGAATTACAGTTCTTTAACATTCTTATCAGTACTTGATCTGGTCAATCATTTGAATTTATCCTTTTAATAAGCAAGCAATAGTTTTAATAGCATTTCTCTATAGATTCTTGATGTTGAGCAGACTTTTTCATGTGTTTATTTGTCATCTGTGAATCTTTGGTAAAATGTCTGTTTGTATCTTTTGCCTATTTTGTTTGTTTGTTTTATGAATTGTGGATACTTCCCTTTTCATTAACAAACAGCTCATTTTTGTTCCTCCATTTTTTTTGCGCTATGTGCAGTATAATGAACACATACACCATGTACTTTTATTTTTATTTTTTAAAGATTTTATTTACTTTTAGAGGGGAAGGGAGAGAGAAAGAGAGGGAGAGAAGCATCAATGTGTGGTTGCCTGTCATGTGCCCCCTACTGGGTACCTGGCTCACAACCCAGGCATGTGCCCTGATTGGCAATCGAACCTGCAACCCTTTGGTTCACAGGCTGGAGCTCAATCCACTGAGCCACACCAGCTAGGGCACCATGCACTTTTAAATTTAATCTGCATTTTTCCCTTATTCACCATCACACTGTTTAGACTTTCAGTAATACAATTAGTTAAATTCTGGTTTGTAGTGTTCTCCAGTTTCCCTAGTGTTAGTATTCCCACCATGGCCAGTTTCAAACTATCAACATGATATCATTGAACGTGGAGCAGGGAAGAGTAGCCAGAGACACACCATTTTATTTTCTCTGTATTAATCCAGTAGCTGTAAATAACCTCTAGAACAGGGGTGTAAACCTCATTTTCACCAGGGACTGCATCAGCCTCACAGTTGCCTTCAAAGGGCCAACATAATTTTATGGCCATATAAATGTAACTACTACTTAACTATTAAGGAGTTGAAATTATATTCGGCTCTTTGAAGGCAACCATGAGGCTAATGTGATCCCTGGTGAAAATGAGTTTGACACCCCTGCTCTAGAACACAGATGATAGGAAAACACTAAAATGATTAGGAAGTGATGCTGTTACAGATTCCTGTGCCACTGCCAGTTCTAGTTCTTCAGCGCATTCAGTTGCAACAATTTGTCATTTAGGGTCGCATGCTTTAGGGTGAATATCCCAAAGCGTCTAATCAAGCTTATCTATATCTTTCCCCACACCGAAGTTTGGACTTCTAAGACCCAGTTTGATTCTCAAGCTGATGGATTAGAACAGATTTCAAAAACTCAGGTGAAAACTGTCCGATGACCCTGCAGTTCCCATTTGTCTATCTTTGGCAGAATGGACCCACCAGCCATAGAGGACTCTGCACCCTTGAAGCTTGGGCTGAACACACAGGGCTTCCCCATTCTTCCACCGTGGCTGCCATGGCGATAAGTCAGGGCGCTCTCCGTGGAAACACCTGTCACTGTCAATACAATGGAGGGTTGCCATACCAGGGAGATCTGTTTCCACCAATGAGCCAACTTTATCCAGCTTTGTCCCCCTGTGTTGCTGCCACTTGACAGTGGATACCTACCCAAACATCGTATTTGTCCACCCCACTAGACATGCCACTGCTGAAGCTTCCATATTAGGCCGCACAAAAACACTCCTCATGCGCTTCAGAGTTCCAGACATTATCGACATTGAACAAAGCTGTCACTTCAGAATAAGGCATTCAACACATGTCCTCCCCTCCCTATCAGTCCCAGGCAACCGGACTTGCAAAAAATGCTGCAATGTCTTAGTCAAACCTTACAGAAATGATAAAATAACATGGTATTTAAAATAGGCCCTCCTTCCCTGGTTTGGTGACTTGATTGGAGCACTGTCCCATACACCAAAAGTTTGATTTCTAGTCAGGGCACATACCTAGTTTGTGGGTTCCATCCCCATTTGAGGCATGTATAAGAGGCAGCTGATTGATGTTTCTCTATGACATTGGTATTTCTCTCTCCCTCTAAAAAAATCAATAAATAAAAATCATATTCTCAGGTAAGGATTAAAATGAGTCTCCCTCCTACCATTGGACCTCATTATACTAAATTCTTGATGACCCTTGGGGCTCTCTACTCCCAGTCAAAATGCACTGAAAAAAATGACCTTTCCTTGTCCTCTGCAGTGACACTACATTTCAGGGTCCACAAAGATCATCTTGTAGTAGACATTCCTCTTGTTTCTCCTCTTTCATCCATCCTTTTTGGTCTTTTCCCCACCCTGATTGGGAGGGTAGCTAGACGGAGACCTTGAGCTATTGTGAGTTAGGATCAAATGCATCTACCCACCAGTTATCTGGCACCCTGGTAATGTTGACTTGCCTGAGCCACAGGTTTGCCAAATATTCCTGGCTGTAAAATATACTTTTTATGCTTCGGGTTATAGCACTCACAAAGTACAAATGCTACTGCTTGGCCTTCTGGCTTTCTCTAGCTTGGCTGAACAGTAGAACCTCAGGTCTCAAACTGAATTCACTCTGGAAGACTGTTCGAGAAGCAATTAGAAAACTGAATCTTCTTTGTTGCCCGAGAGTCACATGAATGATCATACAGGTATCAGCCTGAAAGGGCTGTCAGATAGAGAATTGAGATCTGAAGTTTTATTAGAAAACCGAGATATTTTTTCCATGAACAACTTGGTCAAGAACTGAATTGTTCAAGAATCAAGATATTCGAGAACTGAGATTTGACTGTACCTGCTTTAGGTAGATAGGTAATAACTGGGGCCTGGGGAACTGCAAGCCATGGACTGACCCTACCTGGCAATGCAGTAGCTACTTGGCTCTATTTTGGCACACAGACACTGTAGTTACATGGCCTCTTAAGCACCACAGCCACAGCTAACCGCTAGTAGGCACCATAATTTTGTTCTTATTTCACTAGCATAATTTTTTACCTTTTGATATGGCATAAGGTTCCCTTTCAATGAGCTCCTTGCCCATGTTGTAGCCTATTCAGCTGATCTTTAAGAAGCTATGACCTTCTCCCTACCACACCCTATTGATCTCTTTAGCAGTCTGCATTTACAAACCTAAAACTCCTAGCACAGTTGGCTAGAGCATAGTCTGGATAAGCCAAGGGTGTGGGTTTGATCCCATTCAGGGCGTATACAAAGAGCAGCGGGTGGAACTACAAATTAGTGTTTTTCCTCAAATCAATAAAGAAATATTTTTAAAAATCCACAAAAACCAACTCCAACTCTTTGGGATGGTTGGGTCAGGACTATAAATGTCTTGACCCAAATCCTTCCTGGTAACCTATTAAATCTTGGTTGTTCATGTCAAATGCAAAGTCTAAGATTTTAGCCCATGACAGCTATTGGTTTAATCTTCTAAATACTCCTCATTTGCATAGGCATATATCCCTCTACCTCTAACTTCTCTTAATTTGATTTATAATACTACATTTGGGTCTAAATGTAACCTTTGGCCTCTTGCCAAAAAAGTTCTGTCTCTTGATTGTGAATCTATGCGTGGGGTAAAATTTCGTAGAACTACACACATACACGAGTATATATAAAATAGTGAGCTCTTAGCAAGTTCTGAGGATTGAACCAATGTCAAATTCCTGATTTTGATATTAAGGTAACGTAAGCTATTACCATATGGGAAATAAGGTGAAAGATACTCTGTATCTTTCCTGAAAGGGAAATAAAGGGAAAGATACTCTGTACTATATTTACAATGTCCTGTGAATCTATAATGACTTCTAAAGAAGACATTAAGAAAAGATTATGTGTCTGTGTTGCATTAAATACTTCTCAGAACTTCCCAGAGCAGTTAGAGAAATCTTAAATTTCTCGTTGTAGCCTGCACGACCATCTGCATCAGCCCCTTCTCCCTCAATCTTCCAACCCCTTCCAACCCGACCAAACTTCCCCGGATTCCACCAGCAAGCTGAGCTCTCACTGGCCATGGGGTCTTGGTACATGCTTTTCTCTTTGCCAAAAGTGTTTTCTCACCTTTGCACCTGGACTGCATAACATCACCTCATGTTTACTGTCTGCTTCCTTCTCTGTGCTGTACAGTTTAAAGTCCATGTTCCCATTTTTCCAGACATGGATCCTGAGGTTTGGGGAGTCAGATGGTAATTGGCTCAGCTCAGAGGAGTTTGAATCACAACCTGTTCCCAGAGTCTAAGTACATAGCTACTAACCGATGCTGCTTCCTTCACACATAAACAGGGAGGCAATGAAAAGGGGCCAGGATCTTGTCCATGGATTTCCCCCCTGGTTGGCAACAGTACTCTGCTGGTCGCTATAATCGGTGTTTCCCTCTGTCTTCTAATTTCTGTACAATGTCTGTGGATTGCGATCAGCATTCCTCCCGGGCCCTGAAGCTGTCTTGAGTTTCTACTTCCTGAATTCTCATGCGGTCCACGTGACTCTGCCCTCCCTGCAGCTGCACACTATCTCTTACCTGCGATATTCATTTCACGTTGACGCATACTGAACGGGACCTGCTAAGTGCTGAGCTCTGCGTAAATTTCTGGGGATAGGAGACAAAACAAAACAGAAAAAAAAAAAGTGTGTGTTCATTAAATTCCATGAGGTGGGACGGACAATCAACATGACAAGAATATAATTCGTCTGGTGCAGACCAAAGCTGTGGAAAAAATAGAGCAGAGTGGGTAAACAGAGACAGATTGGGGCAGGGAGATGGGATGGGAGCACCCAAATTTCAGAAACTGTGTTTAGCCCTGGCCAGGTGGCTTATTTGGTTGGAATGTAGTTCATACACCAAAGGGTTGTGGTTTGATCACCCGTCAGGGCATGTACAGGAGGCAACAGTTGATGTTTCTCTCTCACATCGATGAATTTCTCTTGTGCTCGCTCTCTCTCAAAGTCAGTGAGTATATCCCTGAGTGGGGATTTTTTAAAATGTTAAAGAAAAAGTAAGAAAGTGTGTTCAGGGGAACTCTCACTTAGAAGGAGATGCTTGAATAAAGATCTAGAGAGAATTCGATGAGAGCTGTGCGTTCCTATCTGGGAGCCAGGTTGACAGGATCTCCAGGCCACTGTCAGGAAGCCTGGAGAAATTTCTGCACCATGTCAGTGATGTTTGGAATAACACTGCCCTTCTCTACTCCTGTTCCTGGTCTCGGCAGGGTGAGCACGGGAGTTGAGGAATCAGCTCTTCAGGCAAGTTGACATACATTTTCAGATATTTTATGTCCATTGACTTTCTTGATGGCAAAGCCTTTACCTTTTACATGACTTTGTTTTCTTGATCACCACACATTTCTGGTGATTCATTTTGACTGCATTTTGTAAAACGGTGAGTCCGTGACAGATTGGGGAGTGATGAAGTCCTTCCTCAGAAGCAGTTTGATTTCCAGCAGAGTGACTCTGGAAGCCATTGGGGAGCTTCTAGGACAGGAGGGACATGGTCAGCCTTGGTTCTAACAGGGTCCTTGTGAAAGCTGCTTTGAGAATAAATAGGCTGAAGACTGGCAGGAGGAGGGGAGCCCAGTCAGGAACTGACCTCAATAATCTGGGGAGGGCAGATGGGGAGGGCTAAACAGTGATTTGATTCTGGATATAACTTGAATGTAAAGGACAGACAGACAAGGTTTAGACTGCTGCCCAAATACCTTCCCTGAAAAAACCCCAGTCCATCTGCTTCCCTTACTTTCCCTGGTCTTCTATGGGCTGGTCCCTCACTCCACAATGAATCAGAGACAAAGTGCTTAGTTTCCCCTGTGTGCGTACAGGAAGCGCCCTCCTGCCACGTCCAACCCAAACCATGTTGTCTGACAAGGTCCGAGCATGGGGAGACCAGCTTCAAGGAAGCGTGTTCCGCCCAGGTGGACGTGGCATTAATAGATGTGTGATATTAATTCTGTTCTTACTGTCTCTTGGAATTCTGACATTTACTGTTCTGATAATCTGGAATCTCCTGGAATTAATGACCATCCTTAGAGCTGACCAACAGTGAAGTCAGTCAGGGTACAATATAACCAATAGTTCCTGCCCTGACCTCTCCCAAGAATCTCACTTCCCTTGAAGGAATAGATAAGAAAACACCTACAATGCCCAGCTATCTCGAGGGAAAGAACATCTCCCTCCTTGCATTGAGTAAGTGACTGCAAAATCAAACCCTAATTGCAATGAAAGAACCGGAGCCCCAAATGGCCTCTCCACCGTTTAGTCCCCAAAAGCAGGAAAATTCTAGGAGAATGAGAAAACTCCCTCCTACTGTAAAACTCCCTATGGCTCAGCAATAATGATTAATAGGAGAATTTGGCACCGTCCGAGGGGACAGCCCTTACAATCCTTACCCACGCCTACCCTCCCCTACCATAGGAGATATGATAGGCAGTCATGGTTCACAATTAATGGCAAAAATGTTACTAGCTCAGAATTAAGCACCTGGGAACAGATCAGATGAAGCCATAAGCCCTGATGCGTGTTGTCCTCAAAAGAAAAATTAGAGTATAAACAAGAACTCCAAGGCTATTATGAAATCTACTGGCCTGTACAAAGAGAACAATATCAAAAGGAATTAGAAGCCCTAGAGAAAAAAGTAGCCCAACAGAAAATTTAAAGTCAACAATAAAACTAACTACCATAGCAGAAAATACAAAATCAAGAACTAGAATTTTAAGCTTAGCTTAGCATTAAACTAGAAATAGAATGTCAAGTCTCACACTTCAGAGGTTAAGCATAAAAATAAAGAGGCACCGTTTGATTATGTTCCTAAACAAATCAGGAAGTAAATTTCCTAATAATGAAAGATCTGTAACCGCAAAAGCCTGTGACTGCCAAGTAATACTGAATATAAGCTTGCTTGCTAGACAATAAATTTTAATCAGTGCTCCTTCCTCTGAATTGTGTTGTTGCCTGATCTCCACGTGCTGACGCCTTACCCACCTTCGGGATTCCTGGACTCTGCTGTGGCTGGACCACGGCACCCTCCCAGCCAGATTTTCAAACTAGGAGCCTCTCACCATTGAAACCCCTTCCTCTCCCTCAGTCCTCTCAAGTCTGTCAAACATCATGTGTTTCTCGACATAAAATAAGCACCAGTCTCTCCCTTTCTACTGTAAGGAGCCTAGTCTCAGCTCCTATGGTCTCCTTGCTGGACTGGTAACCCCTCTGCTTGGGTCCCAGGGCCTCTCCAACTCACTGGTGCAGGAGGAGAGAACAGTCCTACCTACACTTGTGATCCCCAAATCTCTTAAAATTAGCAAGTTTGTAAGACTCACTTATGACACAACTTGACCAGAGTTTATGTGAGACTAATGTTAACCTTTTTGCATTCCCTCTGAAAGTGAATGTTGTTAGATTTCGCAGCGAGATGTCAGTGAGGTTGATGATACACTCTGGCCTCTCTGCCCTGGGGGCGGATTATGCTCTTTTGTAGTAGGTATTAGAAAACTGGAGGATGAAGAGGCCAGAAGACAACCCGTCAACGGGCAGCTTTTATCCAATCATGTCTTTAATCCCATCACTGACTCCAGTCCCTACATAAAAGGGAGGAGCCTTGGGAAATCACGTCCGATGAACCAGTTCAGGCAGCCAGTCAGCAGCTCAGCCTTGGGTCCAGGATTACCCAGTTGGAATTTCAGTCTTCTTGAGGAGGTGAGTTGCTGGAAAGGAAAGAAATTTTCTAATTGTGTATGTCTGTGGGTGAGAGTGCATCCATGTGTATATAGTCTTAGCTATGAGGAGAAAGTTCCTATATGCAAAGATTTGGGGTTACTTCAGCATGGGGGTCCTGTTGTAGCTACTGCTTTAGCTGTGCAGAAGCACAATTGCAGGAGACATCTCTGGGAAAGGCTTGCCTGCATGGCTATGTTGTCTGGTTAATTGTATCTTTCTAGGAATTCATTTTGATGGCATCCTGGGAAAGTGCTTGTCCACAGCTGACTAGGGTGGTAGGGGTAGAACTTGACCTTGAAATCGTGGCTGTCTGATATTTAGCGGCTATATACTGAGCGCTTCCCATGTGCCAGCAAATAAATGTTAACTCTGAGCTGCTCTGGTAATTCTGGAAGTTAGTGGCATTGGAGATCAGAGCCCCCATGACACAGATGGGGACCTGCTGGATAATGCATCTGGGGTCACACAGCTTGTAAATGCTGGCCTCCAGATTAAGGAGCCTGACAATCTGGGTTTCTTTTGTTTGTTTACTTGTTTGCTTGTTTGTTTTACGCTGAGATGTAACTGACATACAATAGTCTACTAGCTTCTGGTATATAACATAATGATTCTTTATTTATAATATATTGCAAAATGATCACCACGCTGAGTCTAGCTAACATCTGTTAGCACACATAGTTACAAAATTGTGTTTTCTTGTGATGGGAACTTTTATTATGCAATCTGATCTTAAATTCCAGCTGTGTCTGTGTGGGACTAAATGCATGTCCACAAGTGTGATCACGTGGTGTGTGTGTGCCTGGAGGCAGTCTTGAGAGAAAATTTGTGGGAGATTGAGAAGAAGGGCAGGGCATGATCCTGCAGGAGAGAGACAGAGACCCAGTGTACCCGGATGTGAGAACTGGCCACAACACCTCAGATAGAGCTGGGGGCTGAGAGGGTGGGCTGGCCTGGCCCTAAGGGACCAGGGAGGACTTGGTATTCTCTGAGAGGAAGAGAGATGCAAGCAGGGAGTGAAGTGGAATGTGGCCTAAACAGTAAGTAGCATTTTGCAAGGTCAACTGGAGACTTTGAGATAAGCGGATTAGGGAAAGACAAAAGTGTGTTTTCTCCTAGAGGTTTTTTTACCAGTTATCTTTACCTCAATAAATGAGATCTCGGTAGGTAATGTGATCAAATAGGCACTGGAGGAAGACACAAAGCTGCCAGGACTAACAGAAACTAATTACGTAGGTTTTTGTGTGCCCATGTATCAATGCCACCCAGCACCTATACTTTGCAATTTTGTGGCATGAAACTTGCTTTTCAAAAAGTACAAATCTTTGAAGTGTTAACTATATTTAAAATGGGAAAAGGACACAAAATAGAGAAATGATAGAGAAAGGATTAAATCTTTTATCCATTTGACATCCCAAGTGGTATGTCCACTGTTGCTCAGGTAGCGTGATCTGTGGTCAGAAATCAATATAAATCAATATGGAGAGATGCAAACTCAATTTCATCTCTGCTGGATTCTACACAGCTAGAAAAAGGACAGGGGTTAAAAAGAGGGACACCAAACTGTAACTTTGATGGATGTAATTAAGCAAGGAGAAATGTTTTTCACAAGGAAAGGTAATTGATGGTGGAAAAAAAGAAAATCAATGAAGAGAAAATTTCCTATGGAATGTGTCGCTGGACTGACACAGCAGGGCCAGCTGGTCATGCAGGCACCGTGACTGATGTAGGCATTTCCAGCACAGGAGGAGGCCCTTTGTATGGATTCCAGCCTGTCTCTTCCCTTCCATTCTCTTTGTTTTTCAACTTTTCCTAACATTTTGTTTTCTTATAATAACTGAAAGTATATTTGTAGAAGATCATTGCCTTCCTTCAGTCACATCGTGTCCAGTTGCAAGTTAAGATGCCATGTAGTATTTGCAATTGGACATTTTTTAAATGAAAAAAACATAACAGAAACAAACTCACATAGATGCAGAGAACAAATTTATGGTTACCAAATGGGAGGGAGTTGGGGGATGGGTGAGAAAGGTAAGGGGATTAAGAAGTAAAATTGGGCAGTTACAAAATACTCATATTTTGCCATGTATAATGTGCAATTTTGTGCCCAAGTTTTCGAGGGAACAATAAGAATGCGCATTATACGTGGGTAGTACTAATTCTATATCCATATAAATATTTTTAATTCTTTTATTTATGCTGACGCATTAAAAGTGTAACTCTAGAAAGCAATAATGATATCCCTATGCAAAATAATACCCTGGAATATGATAATTGGGTTTGTTTCTGAATGTAAATAAATAAATAATTGGATTTAAAAATTAAAGCAAAAGTTGGTTGTTTTTTCCTGCAAGTGTGGGCCCAAAACATGGGTGCTCATTGAAAAAGAAAAGTTTTAAAATAAATAAAATCGAGCATTTTTATTGAAGTATAATGCATATAGTGAAAAATTTAAAACTAAAAGTATATATAGCTTCGTAGCTTCATATGGAGAAACACTCCTACGTAACTAATTACCTTTGAGGTCAGAGGTAGACTCTTGCCAACTAAAAAACAGAAAGTACGGCGCCCCAGGAAAATGGACGGGTCCTGCTATGGAGCCTGTTATATCCACTGGACGCGAGAATAATTTTCGAAGACCTTTCAGGGTTTTGGTCTTAGTTTATTGGCCAAGCTTAACCTGCACGGGGGGCGAACTCTCGGAGTGTCCTGAGGCACGGTGCCCAAAAGGGCTGCAGATGAGAGTCGCGCCCAGCGCTTACAGCTAAGTCCTTATATAGGGGCGCGCAAGCAAGCGTTGAACAGAAGCAGACGTGGCAGTTTGCTGTTTGCTGACAGAGACCGAGCGTGGAACAGGGTGGGGTTTCAACATTCAAAGCTGAGCAGATTACAATCAGCCTGTTTTGCTGTGGTCAGGCTGTGTTCTCAATTTCCCAGATCTCAACAGAGCCCTCTGTATATGTACCTCTCCTGGTATCCACTATTGTCTCCAAAACCCAACATCTTAAATAATATTGATACTATTGGCATGCTTTGAAACAGCATAAATGGGACTAAACAAAATGTTTTGTTTGGTGGCTGGGTTATTTCATTCAACATCGTCATATGTGATTAATTTAAATTGTTGCATGAAGCAGTTCCTTTTCGTTGCTGTCAAATATGCCTCTGTATGAGTTAGTTATGATCTATCCCATTTAATGTTGGACATTAGGAGGTTGCAGTAGGAGAATTTTGTACCTTATGATGATTTAAACATTCTTGCTTATGTCTTCAGTGTACATGAATACATTTTTCTGTTGAGTATATGCCCTGCCATGGTCCCTGACTGGGAATCGAACCACAATCCTTTGGTTCTCAGGCCTGTGCTTAATCCACGGAGCTACACCAGTCAGGGCTGATAAGTACTTTTCACAGTTTTTCTATTAAGCAGTCTTTTACTTCATTGATTTGAAGGAGTTCTCTATAAACTCATCTAGTGTTTTGTGTACTACTGACGATTTCTTCTCCTATGCTGTGCTTAATCTTTAAAAATTTTTTATTTGGGGGGTGAGGGGGGCAATTTTTATTTTTATTTATTTATTTAGAGAGAAGGGGAGGGAGGGAGAAAAGAGGCATAGAAAAATCCATGTGAGAGAAAATTATTGATCAGCTGACTTGTATATACCCCAGTCGGGACTGAAGCCATAACCTAGATGTGTGCCCTGACTGGGAATCGAGCCAGTGACCTTTTGCATTGTGAAATAATGCCCAGCCAACTGAGCTCTGCCCAACCACGTGGGTTAGGGCATACTTCATCTTTTTGATGAATGAATGACTCTACTTGGTAAACAGAGACTCTCACTTTAAAGTAGTCCAGTATATCAGTCTTCCTTTGTGTTGAGTTCTTTCTGTTATCTTAAAGATATCTTTTCTATTACAAGTTCTTAAGTGTGTTCTTCCATGTGGTGTTCTAGATGCTTTATTATTTTAATTTTGTTTTTTTCTTTTGTTGTCGTTTTATATTTTTGAGGTGCTTCTTTTTAATCCACCTAAGAACTAATTTATGTAAATGGTATAAGGGAGGGGTCAGGATTAACTTTCTCCTTAATGGATAATCAGTTGACCTAATACCATTCATTGAGGAAAACAGATTTTCCCCTTTGCAAATACACTTCCCCATCGTGTTTCCCAGAAAGGAGGTAACTGTATAAATGTAGATCTGTAACAGCACAACATTCTGTTCTGTGGCTTTTTGTGTCTTAATGATCACAGTCTTAATGAATATAGTCTTTTAATCCATTTTACTTTCAAATTAAGTGCATCTTGAAAAATTCTTCAGATTTGTCTTGGTTATTTTTAGCCCCTTTATGTCTATGTAATTTTAGGATTAGCTTTTTGTTTATTACATACACACAGACACACTTGCTGGATTTTCACTGGGATAGCATTAAATTTATAAAGCAACTTAGGAAGAATTAAGGTTTTTTTTTAATAATATCGAGTCTTCCAACTTGTGAACATGGCCATCCTTTATATATATATTATATATATTATATATGTATATATAATATATATATTATATATATAATATTTATTGATTCCTTGGTGCAGGCAGCTGAGAACCAGAAGTCGTGGGGGAAGAGCGACTGGGTGCCTTGTGTCCCTGGGCACCCTTTTCCAGACCTTCTGCAGTTGGGCCTCAGAGGGGTGCTCAGGACGGCCTTGCCTGGACCCTGCCATTTGCGATGCCCTCGGGTGCTCCTGGCCATATTCCCCAGACTGGCAGGCATGGCAGAGGCAGCCTAGGGCCTGAATTACCAGGAAAGTGTGAAAACATCCATTTATCTACATTAACAAATCACTCATCAAGAGGCGGTTTATTTATTTTTTTAAATTAATTAATAATTTTTTTATTTTATTTATTTATCTTTAGAGGGGAAGGGGAGAGGGAGAGAAACATCAATGTATGGTTGCCTTTTGTGCATCCCCTGCTGGGAACTGGCCTGCAGGGAACTGGTCTGCAACCCAGGCATGTGCCCTGACTGGGAATCGAACCGCGATTGTCTGGTTCTCAGGCCCGCGCTCAATCCACTAAGCTACACCAGCTAGGGCTAAATTAATTAATAAATTTTTAGAGAGAAGACAGGAAGGAGAGAGGGAGAGAAACATCAATATGTGGTTGCCTCTTGCGCAACCCCCACTGGGGAACTGGCCTGCAGCCCAGGGATGTGTCTTGACTGGGAATTGAACCTCGATCCTTTGGTTCGCAGGCCGGTGCTCAATTCACTGAGTCACACCAGTCAGGGCACATATATTACTTTTAATAAACATTCAGATAAAGAACTTTCCAAAAACTCATAGATGTTATTAAAAATTCATTTAAATATGACAGAAATAATATTTTTGGATTCAGGGCTTACACATTTTTATTGGATTTCTTAAAAAATTGTATTTATTTATTGAGAGAAGGGATGAAAGGGAGAAAGTTGGGGAGAGAAGCATCAATGTGAGAAACATCAACTAGGTTGCCTCTTGTACTCACTCCAACAGGGATTGAACCCACAACCCAGGCATGTGCCCTGACTGAGAACTGAACCTGCAGCCTTTCACTTTATGGGACTGTGTCCAACAACTGAGCCACACCAGTCAAGGCATAGATATTTGGTTAATGGTCATATAGTGGTAAAGTATTTTTGTTTTAATTTTCAGCTGCTTGTGTTATTATACAATCCAATTGATTTTGGTATATTGGTTTTGTTTTGTGTATCTTGCAAAAATTTGTGTATCTTGCAAATATATATATATTTGGCTGGTTACAGAGCAGTTCATTGTTGCATAGAGTTGATAGGGGACATCAGCCGTCTCTCAATCTAAAAGTGAAAACTTTAACGTATAATTTTTGCTGCATTTTGTATACTTGATCACATCAATGGAATTCTCTTTATTTCTTGTTTACCAAATATCTTCCAGTCATGAGCACTGACTTTTATTAAACGTTTTAAAATTAAAAATCTAAATGTCTCCAGGCAGATGATTATAGTGGATTTTTTCTATATTCCATTAATGTGGTAGGTCACATTGATTTTTAAATTTTAACTCTTCATTTAGAAAGTAAACCCTGGGTTTGACTTGCAAATAATTTGCTTTTGATTTTTAGACCTGCATTCATGACAAGTTGGCCTGTGGAGTTCCTTTCTTTAATGTATTGACAAGGTTTTATTATCAGGGAGCTGCCAAACTCCTTAATCAAAAGGGAAGTGTTCACACTTTTTTTTTAATGCTCTAGGAGAGTTGGCATAAAATGAGTATTCTTTCTTTCTTCATTGTCTAGTAGAATTCACCCATGAGTTTATCTGAACTTGAATTTCTTTGTTTGTGTTTAAGTATGTCAGTGCTGTAATTAATTATACATCCTTTCCATCCTCTAGCTTGCAATGTTTAAGCATCTACCAGTTATTGAAACCAATCCCTAGAGAAATAACTAAGAAGAGCTTGAACTCCTGAAGTTTAGTCTTTCTGAAAATCCCTGCTAAGAATGGCTTTATATCCCAGAAACCCCTATCAAGCTGAACCATCAAGGAATGATCATGAGTCAGAAAATCTAGAGATTAAACCCAGCCGAGAACCTGCCATCCAGGAGGGAGAAGGGATCTCCAGATTTCCGAGCACGAGCACGGAGCTGAGCTCATCTCAAAACAACAGTAACTTGGGTGCAAGGCAGGAACTGCTAAGACTCTACAAGTCAATTTGCTCATGGCTGCAGCCAGAAAAACGCAGCAAGGATGAAATTATTTCTTCTTTGGTGCTGGAACAGTTCATGATCAGTAGGCACTGCAGTGACAGGTCCACGTTGAAGGAGAAATGGGAAGCAAGTGGCAGAAACCTGGAGACATTCGCGGAAAGCCTGAGTGATGATTGCATGAGGCCCCCTGGCTTGGTGAGTGGAGGGTTCTGACCCCTGGGGGGAGGGACTGAGGAAAGAAAGGAATAGTAGTCTATTGCAGGTGCCTGGAAGTAAAGAAAGAAGGGTTACTGTAGACTCAGTTTATTAGTCCTCCAAAGGGAGGACCAGAGGGAATCTTTGCCATTCTAAGTGAGCAAGGGAAAAACTCTATTCATATATTCAGTGGGACATATGAGAGCCAGTGTATTAATAGATACTCGTTAATACTCATTTAAGCTGGTGAGGTGGTAAAGAGGGTTCACTAACAAAATCACATTTGAGCAGACATCTCAAGGATGAGGAGAAATGACTTAACACCAGCTGGTTCTTTGCTCAGAAAGACACATGAACAAGAAATTACCATGAATTTAAGGCCAGCAGATGTAAAAAGCAGGACAGTAGGCACGGGAGCGATGCCATAGAGGGATCTTGGGAAAGCCCAATGAGGGTAGTTTTTCACACGTGTCTGTGGCTGAAGAGATCCAGAGATGACCGTGATCAGGCTTTGTTTACAGGTCCACGTTCACATGCAGGGACAGGAAGCCCTCTTCTCTGACACTGTGCCCTTAAGAGAAGTCATTGTTCACTTTAAGAAACAATTGTCAGCAGGAACCCCAACAGTGGCAAATGTGGGAACACCCTCCTGGACTGCCCAAGATGCTTCTCTGCAAAGAGGACAAGGTGAGTGAGGGGGGCCCAGGGACCAGAGGGATATTCTGTATAAACTCTTTCTTGGGTACAATTTCACTGAGTCATGGCTTTATTTTCACAGGAGATGAGGATGAAGAACATGGTGGCAACATTTCTTTGAAAGCGAATGAAGAAAATGACAATATTGCTAGTCAAGGCCATCAAATACCTCCCCTGCTCATTATCCAGGGAGAGAACTATCCTGGGCCTGAAGGGGGAGATGTTTCTTTGGAGAATCCACACAGCTCCAGAAGAGTGAGTCTAGGCACCTCCAGGTCCCAGGAAGGGTTTCTCAAAGGACGCTGTAATCAAGATGTCCTCATGGAGGTGGGACCAGCGTTTCTCTCCAGGCTGCACCAGGTCACCCCTGAGCCCTATCCTACCCATCGTAGCAGTGCGGGAAGCTCCACGTGGGGGGGACACAAAGAAAGATTCCACAGAACTCAAAGGCTATACCAATGTAAGAAGTGTCGCAAGGTCTTTAGGTATTTCTCTTGGTTAAAAGTCCATCAGAGAAGACACAGTGAGAAGATATTCATTTGTGCCGTGTGTGACAAACGCTTTGTCCAGGCCTTGGACCTACACATGCATCATAATATTCATGTGGGAGAGAAGCCTTTCAGGTGCGGCACCTGTGCCAAGCCCTTCAGCTACAGAACCAACCTTCTGGCTCATGAGAGAATCCACACGGGAGAGAAGCCCTACGTGTGTTCTGTGTGCCAGAGATGCTTCCGCCAGTCATCCACCTACCACCGCCACCTGAGGGCGCACCAGAGGTCTGCCCTCAGACGTGTTTCCTCTACACCGGAAGCTTCCTCCATGTAATGCGTATAAATATGTCTTCAAGTATGTATATTTCCATAGTACTTATCTACTTAGAACATACTTTATAACTTCTCGATCATATATTCCATTCATTTTCTACCCCTCTAAAATGTCAGTTTAAGGGGGGCAAGGAATTTCTGTTTGGTTCAGCAAAGTGTCTCAGGTGCCTACAACGTGGCGGACACATTTCTTTTTGTTTGTTTATTTATCTTTGGAGAGAGACTAAGGAAAGGAGAGGAAGAGAAGCATCAGTGTGTGGTTGCCTCTTGAGCACCCCGTACTCGGGTACTGGCCCACAACCCAAGCATGTGCCCCCATTGGGAATCCAACCAGTGACCCTTTGATCCATAGGCCAGCGCTCAGTTCACTGAGCGACACCAGCCGGGGCTGGCTGACACATTTTAAATGACCAATAAATACCTGTTCAGTAAATTAAAGTGTAATGTTTGTTTACTTTTTAAAATCCAGTAATGTGTCCCATGTGAGAACACTATGGATTCCAACACTAGGACACCACCTACCTACTACCCAGTCCTCTGTCAACACCCTTTGCTCTCCTGCAGCCACAGGCACCTAAAAACATGAGGAGGGGAGGGGAGAAGCTGGGAATAGGCCTTAGCCCGTGACACAGAACGTTATAGTCAAAAGATGTAATTCTTTCTTTGATTCACTAGAATATCAGTAGCTAAATAGGACATAAATATGACTGGTGACTGAAAGTTGTAGAATGCTATTTTATGAACACATATCATAAAAGCCCAATGTTTTCCACTCATTTGTTCCAAAGATGGCAGGTATGGGTGGTGAAGGAGTTTCAATAAGCAGTTTGGAGAAAAAGAAAGGATTCTGTGCAGCACAGAGGCAAAAGCATGTGTGCTAGGTATTTGGAATTTAATTGTGAGCTGGTGTCCACTAGGAACTGGGACTCAGTCCCACTTCGAAACCGGAAGTTTCTCATGTAGGGATGGCTTAAATCATGGAAGAGGGCAATCTGCTAGGTAAAGTGTGACATTTCTCTGTTTTCCTCTTTGTATTCGTAGAAGGGAGGACTGTCAGGTTGCAGAAAAGGCTTCGCTGTGTAGAGGAGCTGCCCTCGGCTTCTGGAGCTGTATCCAAGTGTTTTACAGCGTAAATGGTTTTTTTCCCATTAATGTTTTTTCTTTGATTGATTCCCGGGAGAGGGGAAAGGAGGAAGAGAAACATTATTGTGCGAAAGAAATATCCATTGGTTCCCTCTTGCGTGCTCCCTGACGGGGCAACAGGCCCACAACCCAGGCATGTGGCCTGACCTGGAACTGAACTGGTGTCCTTTAGCTTTGCAGGATGATGCCCAACCAACTGAGCCACACTTGCCAGTGCTTTGTTCATTTTTAAAATTTATTTATTTTCTTATTGGACTTATTACAGTGACTTTGGTTAATAAATTTATATAGGTTTCAGCTGTACAATTCTACAATACATCATCTGTATATTTCACATGTGCTCTGCCTCAGAACACTAGTCACTGTCCCATACCCAAATATAATTTGATAAATTGCTCTCAGTTTGAGAAATAGGATAGATTCCTCAAGGAATTTAATATATCTTAGAATATTGGGTGGGAGATACTAAATGGATAAACAGATAAACAATGTTTTTCTATAGTGCGGACACTGTCACTGAGGATACAGGCAGGAGAGATAATCAGTAGCAGAGATAACTCCTAGTTCTCCTTCTTAAGGGCATCCTAAGTCCCTCTTTTTCTTCCAAATTATGCTTCAGACTGAAGTACAAAGAGTTACAAAATCCACTGTTGCTTTTGACTTCGTGCATTAAAATTGGCGGAAAATTGTCAGTGGAATTGTCAGGTCAAAAGGCAGTTTCGTTTTTAGTTTTCTGAGGAAATTCCATACTATTTTCCACAGTGGCTGCACCAGTTTGCAATCCCACCAACAGTGCACTAGAGTTGCTTTTTCTCCACACTCTCTCCAACACTTGTTGATTTGTTTAGGTTGGCCATTCTCACTAATGTGAAGTGGTATCTCACTGTGGTTTTAATTTGCATCACTCTGATGGCTAGTGATGCTGAGTATCTTTTCATATGTCTCTGGGCCCTCTGTATGTCCTCCTTGGAGAAGTGTCTGTTCAAGTCTTTTGCCCATTTTTTCACTGTGTTGTCTTCCTGGAGTTCTTTATATATTTTGGAGATCAAACCCTTGTCTGAGGTATCATTGGCAAATATGTTTCCCCATATTGTTGGTTCTCTTTTCATTTTAATGCTGTTCTCTTTAGCCATGCAGAATGAAAGCTAAAGTTCTTAATCCCCAGGACCATTCATGCTGCTACAACACTTAAAATATCATTTATTTTAGAGAGAGAAAGAATCATCAACTTCTTATTCCACTTATTAATGCATTCATTGGTTGACTCTCCTATGTTCCCCTGGGGGGGGTGGTGGCTTACGGAAAAGGACACCTTAACCAAGGACAAAATAGGGCCAGGGCTGTTGCCTCAATTCATTTAATCCCCAAAATGTGCGACTGGGACCCTAACACCATGAACAGCAGAAGAAACTACATTACCCAGAGCGCAACGCGCCCAACGTAGGAGGGTTGGTCAGTGAAAGCCCCAAACCTGAATTGCCACGCTGAGCCTTGGGTTCCTGCGTGACACTCGTGTCCACCTCTTGGCGGTTATTTTGGCTTCTTGCCTGGGCTCACCGAGTGAGAGCCTTCAGAGTCCAGGTCCCTACGGAGGAGGCGCCAGGGGAATGGTCAGCCCAGTGCAGAGGTGCCTCTGAAGTTTGACCCGCTTCGAGCTGGATCGGGGCCTCAGAGCCTCCGTAGCATCCGCTCAGCCCACCAGTCCCCAAGGAGCTGAGGCGCCCTGCTGAGGTGAGTGCGCCCCCGGTCCCTTCCTCAGCCCATGGAGCCTTGCAGCCCAGTGGCCAGGTTCCAGTCACGTCCTGCAGCCCAGGCCCCAGGATCCAGGACCGTGAAGCTCTCGCGGGGTACGCGCACGGTGTGACTGGGTGGAGAGGGTGACGCACTGAGGGGCCACCAAGTCCCTGCGATGCTCACGGTCGGCTGAGCCGGGAGGATTCCGAAAATCCGTGCTCTCTTTTGTGTGTAAAGGCAACAGAGACACTGATGCGAAGTAGTGCGTGAGGAGTTTTACTTTCATTCTCCAGCAGCGGAGGCTGTGGACAGTTGTGAACAAAAGTGGGACCTTGACTGAGGTAGGGTTGTCACGATTTCCAAACACTGCTGAGACGAAGGAGAGACCAGAAGAGGTGATAGCCACTGGGGACAGGAAGATGAATCGTGTAAAAAGCGATGTAACTGGCAGTGTCTGATCGCAGGATGGAAGAAGCCCTGAGGTAGTACGGTCACCTCTAGGGCACCTGGCCCCAGGCCGAGTGAGAGAGCACTTAGAGGCCTGAGCCCGTGGGTCCTGGCAGTGGTGGCCAGGCTCTCAGCTGACCTTTCTGTTTCCACAGAGTCCTGCCACTGCAGAATCGCTTAGGGTCCTGGTTTGTGGAGCTTACGGCATGGCCTCCCACTCTCATGGTCTGTAAGACAGAGGTGACCTGGGACTGTGGTGCCACTTTTCTAGCTGTTAGGCCTGGGGACCTTGAACTGACACCAGGCCCAGGGTCCTTGGTTTAGGTTTAGATTTATATGAAGTGGTTCCTTTGTTTGGCAACCAGCGGAATGAGATGTGGGCAGTCCTCCCAGGGATAGATACCAGCATGCGCAAAGGCTTGGAGAAAGGATTAGCTGGTACAGAACCTGCAAGTATCCTTTCTTTCATATAAGCAATGGGACAGCATTCGGGTCTAAAGCCACTTTGTGACAAGTTGGCTTTCTATTTGGCAGGTGATGGGAGCAATGGGAGACGTGAAGCAGTGGAGGCAGGTGATCCAACCCAGGTCTCAGTGGGCTCACTGGTTGCAGCATAGACAACAGGGTGAATGTGAGGGAATTGGTAGGACCAGGCAGGAGGCTGCGTATATAATCTGAGTGAGTGTGAAGGACCAAGAAGCAGGCGGTGGAGGTAGGAGCATTTGGATTCTGGATGGGTGTTTTAGGTGTGGCAACGTGGATTTTCTTTCTTTTTTTAAAAAATTATTTGTTCATTTTAGAGATAGAGAAAGAGCAGTAGTGGACACAGACAGCATACAGGGAGACAGACATGATTTGTAATTCAACTTATTGATGTATTCAGTGTTTGATTATTTTTATTTTTTAAATATTTTATTTCTTTAGTTTTAGAGAGAGGGGAAAGGAGGGAGAAAGACAAGGAGAGAAACATCAATATGTGGTTGCCTCTTGTGTGCCCCCTACTGGGGACCTGGCCTGCAATCCAGGCATATGCCCTGACTGTGAATTGAACTGGCAACCCTTTGGTTCATAGGCCGGCACTCAATCCACTAAGCAACACCAGCCAGGGCCATTGTTGGATTCTTATATGTGCCCTGAAAAGAGATTGAAACCACAACCTTGGAATATTGGGAGGACAAACCAACCTACTGAGCAACCAGGCCAGGTTGCCACATGGATTTTCACATTGGGAGGGAGGGAGAGAGAGAGGTAGGTAAGTGTCAGGGATGATGACAAGTTGAGAAGCTTTGGTCCCACCATCAACTGAGAGGAAATCCATAGTAGTACGAGTAATTTTCACTAGGGACATCAGTTTTAAATTTGGCCTGTTAATGGTATGAGTTGTTTTGGAGAGCAGTTCATGGGCATCTGAAACTCCAAGGAATTCAGGATGGAGACTTCTCCAAAAAGTAGTGGAGAATGTATGGACCAGGGAGGAGCTGTAAGTCAGTGTGAAATGTGGAATCGTGGTCAGGATGATACTGGTAGTAATAGCCCAGTAAGAAGAGGGCGGGAGTGAGGACTGGGTTTCCTTTTGGGAACCCTGGTTGTGCAAAGTGGGTGTCACAACACAGCGTAGGGAGAGCAGTTGTCATGTAGGAGGTCAGGGAGAGAGTAGGCTGTGGCACATGGCCTAGGAATTTAAGGGATGCATGGATATGAAATGGATTGAAGGCCGAAGAGTAATTCACACAAAAGAGACTGGAGCTGGTGCATATTCACTAGTGAGCATGTGTACTGTGTAGCCGTCCCATTCAAAATCACTAAGCAAGTTAGAACAACAAATCTGCATCAAAATTTTGCATTAAGCTTGGACATTCTTCCATGGGAACTATTCAGATGACTCAGAAGGCCACAGCTGCGGGCAACTGATGAGTGATAGCTTTATCACAACAAGATTTTTTGTGAAATATCAGATCACCCAAGTGACTCAGCACCCCCTCTACAGACCAGATTTGGTGTCCTGCAACTTCTGGCCAGAAGTTTGTGTGATCCTTGGTGAGACCTGGGGTGTCCCAGTTAGGCTGACGGATTAGTGTAGGGGCATAAGTGGTCATCTGCGAGACTCACTGGGCATGGGGTGGAGGCTGGGCCTGGGAGGTAGACAGGGGAAGGCTGAGACTGGTAGAAAGACGTCAGGAGCAACACCAATGAGGGAGGGCTGTGCATATCTGAGATCTGATGTGCTTCTCAGTTGGTGAGGTTGAAGCAAGGAACAGCCAGGGAGGGACACTTTCCCAGCAGGACTCAAGGCAGCCCCCGTCAGTGGGGCCCATCAGAGTCCGCATAGTAGCTGAGACTGTTTGAATTTACCATGTATTCTCTGGGCCCCATATGCTGATTACTGAGTTGAGAGGTCAAGGTAATGACTGAGGTAAAGGGCAGGGGGAGGCTGGGGCTGTGGTGGTACAGGTGAGAGAGAGGTGTGGTAGGAAGACAGGCGCACTTGGAGGGGCAATGGTAACTTACGGCCCCAGTTCCCTGGCTTCGATCTAAGAGTAAGTTAAGGGTCAGCCCATGTCTGGCAGTGTCTGGAACAAACAATGTGGGGAACCTCATGAGTGCCTGAAAAAAGGGTGTGTGTGGTTCTACATGCTGGGCCCAGAGACTAGAATTCATTTGTCTGTCCACTTGCCTATCGTTGTTGAGGGCTGATGCAGTGATTAATGGGACCTCAATGAGAAAGCGGACGTCAGTGTTGCTGGGCTTGAAAACCTCCACTGGCATCGGGGACAGAGGGGGATAAGCAGGTGATAGATTATAGAGGTGGTGAAATTAGAATCCTAGGAAAGAAGCTGATCAGAGAACAGTCTGTGTCATGGTAAGACTGTGGTGCATTTCAAGTTGTCCCTCTGAGAAGGTAGCTGTGTGAGAGAGAGGTGATAAAAAAAATTATGTGCAGAGAGTAGGGTAAACTGAAGGACTCGGGCCCCTATGATGGGGCTCATAGGTTGAACGGGATGTGCCATGTTCTTCATGTCTTATAGGGACAATCTGGGAGACCACAGTGGTATTGTCAAATCATTCACACCATCTATGGCGGCCAACTTCTCTTCCTAACCTATGATTGTGACACCCACTGTACTGATAAGAGTCCGTGTAGCCTTTTTGCCAGGCTCAGAGCTCAGGTGTTGCTATCTGCCCATCTGCCTGCCGTTGTGGGAACTTACAGTATCAATGGGGACATAGGGAGAGAGTGACACCGATGGCACCAAGGCCCGGGATCTGCTCTGATGAGGGGACGTGAGTGAGCAGATAAATGTGGAGGGTGGAGGGTAGGACAAACTTAGAATCTTAGGAGAGAAGCTGGTCATGGCATGAACTGTCCCCATTCTGACAGGATATGAACTTTGCAGACGTGGCCATTGCCTTCTCCCAGGAGGAGTGGGGGCTCCTTGATGAGGCTCAGAGACTTCTGCACTTCGATGTGATGCTGGAAATCTTTGCCCTTGTAGCATCTGTGGGTAAGACCTTCACATTTCTCCTCATGTCCTGAGGTGATATCCTGCCTTTCCTATTTTCTCCAGAGGTAGTGCTGTCTTTCCTACAGCTAGACCATGGGCCCTGCTAATTTTCACCACTCTTGTCATCTGTGCTATTGCTGCCAGTACTGAGCTGTGTGGAATATCCTGAGTCATGAACTCCCCCAGCAGTTCTAACACGTGTGACATCAAGAAGTACAGGGAAGTGTCCATGAGTCAGGACTCTTGCTGACAGCTTAATGGATCCCACCTTGCTTGCCTTCTCCCTGGCAGGGTAACTATGTCCAGATCCATGACCTCCAGTTCTGTCCCCCTTTCTGTAGCTAACAGTTCATTGTGACTGCCCATGCCAAGTCATGGGCATTACTTACACGAGATGTGGGTTGTTCTCGTAAGATCCTCTTTAAGTCAGTCTTTCTAACGTTGTCTTCCCTAAGTAGTATTGTATGCTGAATTGCTCTGAGTTAGTGCTGGCTGGTCACCACTGTTGTCTTTCATTAAAACTGGGGTTGTTCACATTCTGACTACATTAGAGGGTAAAGAGAGAACCCTGGTTTTTTCACAGAGTGGGTGGACCTAGAAGAATGGTCTCCATGGAAACTAACAGGAGGCTCGGCCCTAGTTAGTGTCAGCTATGGAGAAGGCATGAGATAAGAGCTGTGTTCAGATCATACCAGGAACCTGTCTTGTGTCCAATAGTGTCTTGGTGCTAGTGCCACTGGCCACACCTTATTTTTTCTTTTCTTTCTCATCCATAATACTCTGCTGACATGTCATTTCATCTGTGACTTCCTAGCTCCTGGCTGTCTTCATGTCTGCGGCCTCAATGCATTACCTGTTTCTCTGCACAGCTCCCTCTACAGTATTCCCCAACATTGACCTGTGCATGCATTATGAGGTGTGCATACATCCTTATGTAGTCCTCAGACACCAGCCTCCTATTCATTTAATTTTCCTGGGGAACAAACATAACCAACCTCCTGAACAGCTTGCTCATGTCACCAGCAGACAAGCTCTCCTAAATGCCGTTAGCAGAAGATGAGTTGGAGATTCTGCTTCTTTTCCATGTAGTGCTTGCCATCTTTGTGCCTTCTTCTGGTGAGGTCTCCCCTATTTTGTGATCTTCGAGGTTCAGTACTGCACAGCAGCGCCTTAGTCAACCTGCCTCCAGGTCCCTTTCTTTCAGACAATCCTGTGGAACCAGTGTATTATGTCTGACATCGTTGTAATTGGACTTTTCCTCTCCTAACAATATTGATATCCATTTCCTCAGCATTTCTCTGCTTTCAGGTTGTTGGCATAAAAAGGAAGATGAGGAGGCCCCTTCTGAGCAGAGGGTATCTATAGAAGGAGAGTCACAGGTCGGGGCTTCTAAGACAGCTCCAGCAACCCTGAAGACCCATCCCTGTGAGCAGTGTGTCTCAGCCTTGAAAACTGTTTTGCACCTGACTGAGTTCCAAGCAGCGTACCTTGAGCAGAAAGCTTTCTTCAGTGACGCGTGTTTGAGAGGCTTCTGTTTCAGTGCAAACCATCACCAGCAACAGAAGTCTGCCAGTGGAGAGAATCTCTGGAAAGGAGGCATGGACAAGGCCTGGTTTGTGACCGGGTGCAGGTGCCACATATCAGAGACACCTCTCAGCAGTAGGGTGGTTGGGAAAGACTTCCTAGCCATTTCAGGCCTTCTTCAGCACCAGGCTACTCCTACCGGTGAGGAACCTCACAATGGCGGGCAAGCCTTTCTTGTTGGAAGACGTCATCACCAGTGGGGTGAATGTGAAAAAGCTGCCAGCCACAACCACAAACTTGTTCAACATCAGGGCGTCTGCTCTGGAGAATGGCTTTGTGAGAGAGCAACTGTGGGAAAAGCCTGTAGAAAGCTCTTTGATCTTATTCAGTATGGGAGAGCTCCCCCGGTAGAAAAGCCGTATGAGTGCAGCATTTGTGGGAAATGCTTTAACCGAAAATTTTTCCTCATTCGACATCAGAGTGTTCACACTGGAGAAAAGCCGTATGAGTGTAAAGAGTGTGGCAAGTCCTTCAGCCAAAGCTCTAATCTCATGCAACACCAGAGAGGTCACACTGGAGAAAAGCCAAATGAGTGCAGTGTGTGTGGGAAATGCTTTAGGTATAAATATATCCTCATTAATCATCAGAGAATTCATACTGGAGAAAAGCCATATGAATGTAGTAATTGTGGAAAGTCCTTCAGGCAAAACTCTGCCCTCATTGAACACCAGAGAATACACACTGGAGAAAAGCGATATGAGTGCAGTGTTTGTGCAAAATGGTTTTGCCGCAAATTTAACCTCATTCAACATCAGAGAATTCACACTGGAGAAAAGCCGTATGAGTGTAGAGATTGTGGGAAATCCTTCAGACAGAACTCTAAGCTCATTGACCACCAGAGAGTCCACACTGGAGAAAAGCCTTATGAGTGCAGCGTTTGTGGGAAATGTTTTGGCCGCAAATTTAACCTCATTAAACATCAGAGACTTCACAGTGTCAAAAAACCCATATGACTGTCATGATTATGGTAAATACTTCAGCTAAAAATTCATCATTCAGCACCAGAGGATTCACACTGGAGAAAAGCCTTGAGTACAGTGATTATGTGAAATGCTTTAGCTACAAATCTAACCTCATTAATTACCAGAGAATTCATACTGGAGAAAAGCCATATGACTGTTGTCACAGTGGGGGAAATCTTTTAGACAATGCTCCTGTGTTACTCATCACCATCAAGGTCATTCTGGGAAAAAGCTTTATGAGTGTAGCAAATGTGGAAAATCATTTAGCCATAAATCTCCTTGAACACCAGAGAGTTCACACTGGAGGAATGTATTAAATGTGCTGTGAATGTTTTTTTTTCCTCCATGTATCAACACAGGAGGAGGTATCTTCCTCTGAGATTCTTTTACCTGAATTTGAAGCCCTTTTAAGGGAACATACACTGTGCTAGATTCCTCATAAGTTTCAGGCATAAGCACAGCTTTAGGAAGCTGCATTCCACTTTCTAACCTGCTCAGGAGTATTGATGTCAGTTTTTGTGGCTGAAGCTGTTTCATTACTACCACCTGTTCCATCTGCCCACTGTGCATTAGTCACAAACATAGTGTGCTCAGGGAAGCTGATCTCTATTGTTTCTTTTTCTTGAAAAAATGATCAATTCTCTGAACTCTTAGCAGTATCCTCATTCCTTCTTTGATTGGGAAATGAACCTGAGTCTGTTTTGTCTCAGAAAACCCATCCTCAGCTAAGAAGCACTATCTGTTTCACCACATTGTTGTTCTCATATTACCCTGTGATAAATTTTTACAGATTCTCTTTCATCTACCTAGAAACTGCTTTCTGTACACTGCTCTGGTGTTTGATCTTATTCCAGTGGTCTCTTTGCTATTGTACCTTTAATTTTAGTGTATCTGTTTAGCGTGGGGGATGATTTGAAAGTAGAATTGTGATCTGTCAATACAGAGCCGAACATATTTTGTGGGGATTGCAAACTTGCTGTGCTTCAGAAGGGGCAGAATGATGGAAGAAAAGTGCTCTTTGTCTAATAGTGGTTTATTTTGTATCAGGATCCAAGGCCTTGAAAGCAATACTGCATGGCTTTTGGTCTGTATTTGCAGCCTCGTTCCATGATTATTGGGGAGGTCAAAGGTCACCCTGAAGAAGAGGCTTTTACTGTGCTTCTGTGAGCAATATAAATTTTATTCCCTTTTCTTTACTTTTATATTATGTAATTCCCAGCTATGTTGAGGGGATATCCTCTACAGGTTGTGCAAAGGACCCACATGCCATAATGTACAAAATTTTATAGGCGGGTGTCATTTATTGTTAAGACTCTGAGGATTATGTGGAGCCACAATTAGGACAGAAATAATGTATTAATAGTGAGTGGAAGAGACTGCAGTAAATTAGATGGAAGGTTCCTCTTCTGAACGTTCATCTACGAATGTTTCAGGAACTCTGGCTTGTGTGATCTGTGTGTACAGGCATTCTCACGTCCCCATGACTGTTTCCTGCACCTGAAGTCACTGGCAGAGAGAATCTGTGGATTCTTCTGGCCTCTCTGCCATGTTCACTTGTTACTCTACAGAAAAGAAAACGAAGCCAGAGAGAAGGATGATCTTGTAGTCAGTCCCAGGATGTGTCTATTAATAGTGACCCAGTCAACATTGCTATTGATTCAATGCCAACAATCTTCACTGTTTGCCCGTATTTGCTACTGCTAAGGCAAAGCTGCCTCTCTTAGGACATGAGGAGAGAGATGGTAAAACCCATATAGTGTTGCCAACCTAATTTTCTACAAAACATATATCTAGATCTTTATTAGGGACCACTTTTTAAAGCTTTATTCAGGTTTATTTATAATTGGCATACGACAAAGTGCACTTATCTGATGTGGACTGTTTGGTGAGCTCTGACGTATACATAAAACTAGGACACTGTCACGCTGAAATGAAACATTACTGTCACCCATATACAGGGTGGAGAAAATTTAGGTTTACAGTTGCTAGTTTGCAAAACACAAATTTTAGTCTTGTATTATCATTTATTAACTGTTGTAGTATTTTGCATAAAAACAACTGTGAACCTTTATTTGCCCCACCTTCTATTTACCTCCTGCTTTTTTTCTTAAGATTTTATTTATTTACTTTTAGAGAGAGGGGATGGGAGGGAGAGAGGGAGAGAAACATCAATGTGCAAGATCACATCTCAACTGGGGGACCTGGCCCACAACCCAGGCATGTGCCCTAACTGGGAATCAAACCAATTACCTTTCGGTTTACAGGCCGGCACTCAGTCCACTGAACCACACCAGCCACGGCTACCTCCTCCTTTTTTATAATCTTTTCTCTGCCTACCCCAACCCTCCAGGCAATCCTTGATTTATCTTTCTTTACCATAGATTAGTTCGTATTTTCTATAATTTAATAGACATTATAAAGTGTATACATGTTAAAAAATACTGGTTTCTTTCATGCTGGACAGTTATTTGGAAATTCGGCAGTAACACCTATGTGAATAGTTTATTCTTTCTATTGCTAAGTATTATTCTGTTGTATGGATAACCACTTTGTTTATCCATTCATCTGCCTATGGTTTGGATTATTTCCAGGTTTGGAATATTACAAATAAAGCTACTATAAATATTTGCATTGAGTTCTTTATATTGATATGTTTTATTTCTCAAACTGTTACAGTGTTGGAGAATGTTTCGCATTTCTAGAAATGCAGAAATATGATCCAAAATGATCATTCCCTTTGCTTTTCCACTTACCCACAGCGAATAAAAATTCAAGTTGTTCTGCAACCCTGCCAGCACTTGCTATGATTAGTCTTTGTCAATATTAGCTCTGTAAATCACTGTAGTGGTAGCTCACTTAGGTTTTAATTCCATTTTCATAAGAATTCATAATGATGACCATTTTTTCCTACATTCAGTTACCCTCTCTTTATTTCCTTTGGTAAAATCTTTTGTTTTTTTCTGAACAGTTTCCTTTGTTCAGAATCTTTTGCCTATTTTTTAATGAATTTATTATTTTAACCAATAAATAGTGCAGCAACAAAGACATATGTTAGAATTTTACTCATTCTTCAATGACCCAAGTGACTCTGACCCGAGTGACTTCTTTGCCATATGGAACAATTATATTTGAATACTAGATAGAGAATTTTTCCCTCAATTTTTTATGTACAATTTGAAGCCTACTATTACATATAGTGATAAATGTAATATGCATTGTTTAAGATACTCTCTACTGGTGGGTAAAACAGGGATAAATGGTAAGGGAAAAAGAAATACGTTCTTAAAAAAAAACCCATACCCCATATTCTCTACCAATTTCTTTAACTCTAAACATTCAATAATACATTAAGTCAAGAGTAGGTTTGTAATATTTATCCATTTCTCTGGTGTAAATACTCTCACTGTGATATATTTCTAACTGACAAATGATGTAACTGAACATGAAGTTGAGACAGGCCAGGAAGCCAGGACACAAGTGGAACAGGGAAAGGAACAGATAATTACATGGCCAAGAAAATTACATCCATCTAGTAAGTCACACAATCGTATCTTCTACAACCAAGGACACTTAAAAGTAAGTGGTTTACCAGAAAAAAGTAGTAAATAGTTGACAGTAGCACTCTTTTCCAACCACACCTAAGGACAGATTAAGTTAAGGAAATAAATCTCATTTTGGTACATCAGCATAAAGCTGATGAATGTTTTATTAAGGTCCTCCCCTAAAACTTCTCCCAAATGCCCAGCCATTAAAATCCTCAAAACGAAGGTCCCACTGTGCTCTGTGCTTTCCCAGAGAGCACCCATACCTTTTTATTACTCCTTCTTTCCCCCACAAAGGCATGCACCTTTTAAATTCTAAGGGTCCCCAAAAGACTTGCAACCCGACAGCAATGGACAGTGGCAGATTGTCCCAGACTGACCCCCCTGAATCTTTCCTCATGGCCCCATTTTCTTTGACTCTCCAGTAAGCTGGTATTAACCCCTCCTTGGCTCACTTATTTCCCCATGAGGTTTCTAGAGAGCCATGGTAGCCTCACCTAGTCTTTCTCCTATTGCTTTTTTTATCCTAGGCTTTTCCTTCTTTCACTGTCTTCAGCTTTAATAAACATACTCTCAAAATCACCTGTTGAAATCTTACCTGCACAAAGTCAAGAACCTATACACTACAGGCCGGCCCTAGGCAGACCTGCTTCAGTCCCAGTTTCTAGTGACACAGTTAGGCCAGGAAACATCACTGTGTAGACAGATCAATGTCTGATTTTGCTTACAAGAGTTGGATGAAAATGGGTTAGCCCACACTAACTTTGGTGTTGGCTCAAGTCACAAAATGTTCTTATTGAGGGAAGCTTCCTCACTCCTAAATGTTTCCCTTCTATGTTATCCAATTATCTTAGTCATGCCCTCTGGGTGTACTGGAATAGAGAATCAAATGGCACCCCAGGGGTCCTAGAAGATTTCAGCCACCAAAACTAAATGGAGGTAGCCATAAAGGCACATCCTCTGAAGATCTTATACTTGATTTGAAGTCCCACGGCAGCATACACATTCACAGAATAAAGAAATGGCAGCCAAAGTGCCAGCTGTACCTTCCCTGGCATGGTAGGCTGTTTAATGAATCCAGTTAGGCAGCCAAGAGCAATCAGGAAGGCATGTTCTTCTATCTAACCCAGTAACCCTTCTCCCTACACAGATTATCTCGATTATACCCACAGGGTTTTAATTTACAGAGGTGACTGCCTGATGACATGGAGAGTTTGATGTACCTGTAAGAAGATGCATTACAGTTCCCAAGAGCGGGAATATGCTGTGCCAACATGTGGCCATGTGACAAAACAATAGTGTTGCTTGGAAGGCGCAAAGGATTGGGGAGAACATGGGCACAGTCCTTTCTGTTATGGTGGCCAGTGACGCAGGTTGTGAAAGAATTCACGAAGCAAAGTAAATGCAGTGCAAAGTTTTATTTTTTTTTTTACTTTCCCAAGAGAGGGAAGGGGCTGGGTGCAGAGAAATGCACCAACCTTGGGTTTTTATTGTGGGATAAAGGGGAAGGGGAGCTGTAGCTGGGGAGTTGTGGCAATTAGTTGTAAATCAGGAGGTTTCAGGCTTCTTTGCAGCTTCAGTTTGTATTGCTGTTATCTTTGGGTTCAGCGTCCCGGTGCTCAAGTCAGGTAGGGCCTGTTTGTATTTAAAATACCTGGGCGGGAGATGCTTCTAATCTCTCCAGTCCTGAGAATAGAGGCTCACAGAAACAACAGTTAATTATGCCTGGCTGACTCAAAGGAAAGAGACATCTGGTAAAGGGCCTGAAAAAGGCTTTTTTGGCCTTTCACTTTCTTGTGGTTTCCTTAAGAAAGGTGAGTCAGCGTAGCATATGGGATTGTTGAGTTTGAAGTGTTTTGGCAGGCTTTGAGGCATAGATGTAGTCCTTACATTTTGGGGACCTCATCCCAAGATGATTTAGGGGACATACTGGCTTGTGTGAGAGTCAAATAAAGGAGGTAGACAGTGGTATGACTTTGAATTGGTTAGTTTGCATATGAAAGAAATTAAGGTGGTTGGGCCTGTCCTTTATTATCTTTTAGAATTAACTAGCCCTGGGAAGCGCAGTCTCTTCCAGGTCTGTGGGCCTCCAAATGTCAACATGTAAAATACATATAAGACATATGATTAACACACATAGAGACGTACTTCTCACACATGATAAATTCAGCCAATATTTCTATCCCTAAGCCCTGCAACTCTGTCTTGTACATCATGCAAGACTAACTCTGGCATCTCAGCCTCATTAACTAAAAGCTACCAATGACTCCACAGTCAGCTTAACACAGAGGCTGTTAGAGCCTTCTCCCTCTGCTTGAGCTAACATAATAAATCCAGACTCTTTGGTACCTCACAAAGTCAATGAATTTGATCCATTCATATATTTATTATATTTGATCTATTTGTATATTTTACCCCTATTGGTTAAATAGCCTTAGAATCCATACCCATAATTGCTCCCATCTTTTCTGATAATAAATACTGGGAAAATATCAATTTTTCTGATGTGCCCATTATTTTACTGGATCATGAAGAGAATTAGCACAAGTTATGGGTTGTGGTGAGCCTTCAGAAGAATTGCCATCTTTTTAAATAAAATGTCATTATTTATTTATTTTCAGAGAGAGTGGAAGGGAGGGAGAAGTGTGGAAAGAAACATTAATGTGGGAGAGAAACATCCATCGGTTGCCTCTCCTATCTACCCCGACCAAAGACTGAACCTACAACCTGGACATGTGTTCTGACTGGAAATCAAACTAGGAACTGAACCAGCAACCTTTCATTTTGCAGGAAAACGCCCAACAAAGTGAGCCACACTGATCAAGACGAATTGACTCTTTTTTTTACAAGCGGCTACCCCAGGTGATATTCAAAGGAAGGCTCATCTCTCCAGACACCTGGTAAGAGAGACTCATCACTTAAGAGTTTCAAATTATTTTCTTCTTCATTTAACTGTATGTCCCCATTCCAAGATTCTGAATTTCACTATTACGTATCAGTGCCCTAAGTGTTACATGAGAAATATTGTGGTACTGTATTTAGCTTTCATTGTAATCACAAAATACATGTTATGATTTTTTAACATTATGTACATTGTAGCTCCAGAAATCAGGGCTTCTTTTAGGGCTCTCGTGGAACTTTCTTGTGCTGATACTTGAATTTACCATTTTCTCTCTGTAAGCAATAACATGAAATCAAAAGTATTGTTTTTTAACCACAGTCTTTGTAGTCACTCTCACTGCCTTAATGATCATTGCTCACCTCCCTGGTCTCAAGATCTGTGATACTTGTCCCTTTCTCAAAGTCAGTCCCAAGTAACATTAATTATGATACCATTGTGTGCCATGAGTCAGTAGCATCCAATTTCTCATGGGTAGATGTTGAGCGTTTCATTCAAACCCAAGGGTATGGTCAAACCAATCTCCAAATTTCATCCTTGTGGGTTTATCTACTAGGAATATTGTCCACACCAATTTATTATAAAGTTGAATTAGAAGAAAGGAATTCCATAGCAATTTTTATACAAAAATTTTAATAAAAATGTTAACCAAAACAGTTAAGCATTGAGAAATTGCTAATTATTTGTAAAAACCCCTCTTAAAAACACTGAAATTACATATTTACACATATACATAACCTAAAATTATTAAAAATTGCCAACAGAATTGTAGAAAAAAGTTGTATCTGACTAAAAAATTTTATGTAAAAGAAATCACAGAAATCAGGAGACTTCCACCAAGATGGAGGCGTAGGTGGAAACACTTTGCCTCCTCGCACAACCAAATCTAAAAACAACAAAGTTTTGACAACAATAAACACAGCCAAGCCACAGAAAAATCGAACAATATGGAATACAACAACAACAAACTGCTCAGCTAAACCGGTGAGAGGGGCAGAGCCAGCAGCGGAGCAGGTCAGGCAAAAAAGACCCCCCCCACACCTGGGCGCACAGGCAGCCGAAGGTGCAGATCCCAGGTGTGGAGTAGTGACGGGCGGACCCAGGGAAGGCACGGGGCGGCTGGCTGACCACGGTCGCCCACTTGCGCGCAGAAAAACCAGTCCAGAGGCAGAGAGATGGGCATTGAGACAGACCGCGCAGGCCCCAGTGCAAGGAAGCAGGCTGACCATGGCCGCACATTTGCACGCAGATAAACAGGCCAGGGCGAGCAGTGAGGCAGACCTCGCGAGCGGAGAGGACTACCAGTGCTCCCTCTCTGACCCCGCCCCCACATACAGCGTCACAAACCAGTGGCCTGGGTGGCCCCACCCTGGTGAACACCTAAGGCACCTCTTCTCAAACAGGTAACAGGTGCAAACAGATCACAACATGGCTCAAGAACAACTCAGAGCCCCAGAGCCCATAAATCTAAGCGAACAAGAAATTGCCAACCTATCAGAGGCACAGTTCAAAACACTGGTGATCAGGATGCTCACAGACCTGATTGATTTTAGCCACAAATTAGAGGAACATGTAAAGGCTAAACTAATTGAAATGAAAGGAAATGCACAAGAAAGCAATAGTGATGGAAAGGAAACTGGAACTCAAATCAAGGGAGTGGACCAGAAAGAAGAGTAAAATGACCAAACAGAAAAGAATGAAGAAACAAGAATTCAAAAAAATGAGGAGAGGCTTAGGAACCTCCAGGACATCTTTAAACGCTCCAATATCTGAATTATAGGGGTACCAGAAGGGGAAGAGGAAAAGTCACGAGTGGAACACTTATTTGAACAAATAATGAAGGAGAACTTCCCCATTCTGGCAAAGGAAATAGACTTCCAGGAAATCCAGGAAGCCCAGAGAATCCCAGACAAGTTGGACCCAAGAAGGAACACACCAATGCAACTCATCATCACATTAGCCAAGATTAAAATGAAGGAGAGAATTCTAGAAGCAGCAAGAGATAAAGGGACAGTCACCTACAAAGTAGTTCCCATCAGACTGTCAGCTGATTTCTCAAAAGAGACCTTACAGGCAAGAAGGGGCTGGAAAGAGGTATTCCAAGTCATGAAAGGCAATGATCTACATCCAAGATTGATCTATCCAGCAAAGCTTTCATTTAGAATGAAAGGGCAGATAAAGTGCTTCTCAGATAAAGTCAAATTCAAGGAGTTCATCATCACCAAGCCCTTATTATATGAAATGTTAAAGGGACTTACCTAAGAGAAAAGAAGATAAAAAAGATGAACAGTGAAAGGACAGCAAACTCACACAGTTATTAAGAACCACACCTAAAACAAAAGCAAACTAAGAGGACAGCTAGATCAGGAGCAGAACCATAGAAATGAAGATCACATGGAGGGTTAGCAACAGGGGAGTGGGAGAAGGAGAAGGGGGGAGAAGGTACAGAAAATAAGTAGCATAGACTGTAGATAAAAAATAGGGGGAGGGTAAGAATAGTAGGGGAACTATAGAGTCTAAGGAACTTGAGACAGGTGGTTATGAACTAAAGGGGGGGGAATAGTGGGGGAGGAGGTGTGCAGGGTGGAGGGGAATGAAGGAGGGGGAATAGAACAAATGTAATGGCATAATCAATAAAATTAAAAAATATTTAAAAAATTAAAGTCATGTAAATAAATGCAGGAGAAAAAGATAAAGGGTTCATATATGAAACTGTTAACAACTGTAAAAAAAAAAAAAAGAAATCACAGAAATCAATAAGAAACAGACCAATCGGCAACGCATAAAATAGGCAACATATTTGGGCAGACTCTTTATTAAAGAACACAATAATTATTAGGCTAGAAGAGTTGTTTTATATTAGTCATAAAATTGTAGCTTAAAACTTCAATGAGAAAGCACTACAAATTTGCTAAAATGAAACAAATTAAAAAGAATCGCAATACCAAGATTGGGCTCAGCCTAAGTCAAACTTTAGTGTCTCTTGATAAATATTATCTGAGATCTTGACTCTTTCCCCCCTTCACTGATATTTTCCCAGATATATTTCTACCACTGTCTTTTCATTACAGAGTCATTATTAATATCTTTCTGTAAATTGCATTTCACAACTTTTTTTCTGATACATGAATTCCTCATGCACAGGATTCCCAGCAATCACCAGAGTAATGATCACTTCTAATCAAAACGAAATGAGATTTTGGTGTTCGGATTCCCCGAATCCGAGCACGTGTGCTCTGCTTGAGAGCGCCATAATTACTATCCCATAACCAAATAGAATTTGGTAAGTTGCTCTCCATTTTAGAAATATGTCAGATATTTACAGGAATTGAATATAACTCAGAATATTAAGTTGGAAATGCTTAATGGGTAATCAGTGTTGTTCTATAAAGTAAGGAAACCCACTTAGAAATGCAATATGGCTCCAGAAGCGAAGGCGTCTATATGATGCTGTACTCTGTGTTTTAACTTTCTGTAGCCTCAGGCTTAGCTGTCTACTCAGAAAACTGGAATGCCACCCAAAGATAAACATCAAACTTCTTTGAGGGAGGTTAATGAATGTACACAATGTGATAACTGCCTGGTATTATCTGTTAAGATAGGAATGCATTGTTCTTCCTGATTGTCTACAGGACTACCCATAATATGGTTTTACTGTTAACCCTTGTAGAAAGGAATCCTGTCCTGGGAGCAGTGTGCATTCTTTCCATTTGGCCACTACTGGGAGAAGCTGCATTGCCTGTGTATGTAAGTATCTCCTATTGAAGATCTTAAGAATTTGAATAAGGCTACGTTTAAGTTCTTCAGAATCAGAGCTTGACTTTAGACTTTTGGGGCTTTTCTCAAGAGACACCATCACTGAAGCCACAGGCAGGAGAGATGTTCTCTGTGGGAACCAGGGGCAAAGATAACTCCTTGTCCTCCTCCTTGAGGGCAACCTAAATCCTCCCTATCTTCCAAGTACTGACTCAGACTAAACATATAGAGAGTTACAAAATCTATTTATGATTCTGACTCCATGTATTTGAACTGGCAGAAAATGTTTACCACAGTCCAGCTAAGAGTGGATGCATTTTGTGTCTGAGTTAAAACACCTTTCCATTTAGATTTCTAGTATTAAGGAATGACTGGAATAATACTTTTTGCCTCAGGGAGCATTCTGAGTTGCACAGAGTCAGAAGGAATGTCTCCAAGCAAGTGATCAGTTGCGGACCACACTCCCCAGACACCTGGAACCGCCCCTGAAGGTGTCATTTCCCAACGCCACTAGCTGAGTCACAACCTCTTCATTCGCTGTTGTCAGTGTGTGGAACGCTAACATCCCCTGTGCTGCTGAGGAAACTACATTACCCAGAGGGCAATGCAAACAAGGACTGATTGTGGTCCCGAACTGACCGGGGAAGGGTATTCAGTGCGTGCGTGTCAGGTTAGGGCGGGATTTCCCTCGTCCGCTGGGTGGCGGTCATTTTGAGCTCTCCAGTCTGTACTTCAAGTCAGAAGCTCCGGAGCGTGAGGTGACGATCAAAAATGCGCTAGAGAAGTGGTTCCTGATGCTCAGAGGCGCGTCCGAAGCTTGAGGACCAGCAGCTGACCGAATCGGGGCCTCTGAGCCTCGCAGACTCAGCTCCAATCACAGTGGCCGCTGGCCAGTGGCCGCCCTGAGGCGCCCCGCTGAGGTGAGTGCGCGGCCCCGGGTCCTCTCCCCTCACCCGACTAGTGAGCGCCGCGGGCGGCTCGGGTGCGGGGCGCCAGTCCCCTCCTGCAGCCCAGGTCCTGGCATCTGGGACCGTGAGGCGCTCGTGTGTGACGAGGTATGACAGGGTGGGAGAGGGTGACGGGGCTGAGGGGCCGCCGTGTAACGACGCACAGGGGCGGCTGAACTGCGAGAATCGGGGACACCCGGGCGCTGTTTTGTGTCTAAAGGCGGCGGAGAAGCTGAGGCGAAATTGTACTTTTTTCCTCTGGACACCGGTGCGGTGGAGGGTTGTGAATAAAAGAGGGACCTTAGCTGAGATCGGGTTGTAACGTTTTCTAAACACTGCTGGGAGGAAGGAGAGACGAGAAGAGGTGACAGCAGTTGGAGAGAGGAAGGTGAACCCCGTAAAAGGTGATGTGACTGCACAAATGTCTGCACTGAGAACGGAGGCGCTGAGGTAGTGCAGTCAGCTCGAGGGCTCCTGGCCCCGGCCGGAGAGGGCGCTTAGCGGCCTGAGCCCGTGGGTCCTGGCGATGGTGGCCGGGCTCTCAGCAGACCTTTCTCTATCCACACATTCTGCCACTGCAGAGTCGCTTAGGGTCCTGGTTTGTGTTTCAGGGCCTGCCACTCTTACGGTCTTTGAGAGAGAGGTGTTCTGGGACTGGGGTGCCACTCTTCCAGCCCTTGGGCCTAGAGACCTTGAACTGACACCAAGGCTGGAGTTTTTAGTTCAGATCAAGATTTATATGAAGTGGTTCCTGTGTTTGGCCAACAAGTGAAGAGAGGTTTGGAAGGTCTTCCAGGCAAAGATAGGAGAATAGGCTAAGGCTTGCAGGAGAGGCTGAGCTGAATCAGGGAACTGTGCGGTTCCCTGATTTTTATAATACGGGACAGATGGGAAAGGAGTCAGGTGTAGAGCAGCTGTGTGTCAAGTTAGGTGTGTGTTTGTCTGGTCATGGGGGATACAGAATATTTTGAGAAGTGGAGGCAGATGATCTAACCCAGGTCTCATTAGAATACCTGTGGATGTGGAGGGTGAGGGGCATAACTAACTTGGAATCCTAGAACAGAAACTGATGATGGAATGAACTCTCCCCATTCTGACAGGATATGAACTTTGCAGACATGGCCATTGTCTTCTCCCAGGAGGAGTGGGGGCTCCTTGGTGAGGCTCAGAGACTGCTGTACTATGATGTGATGCTGGAAATCTTTGCCCTTGTAGCATCTGTGGGTAAGACTTTTGCATTTGCCTAGTGTCCTGAGGTGATATGCTACCTTCCCCATTTTCTTTAGAGGTAGCTTTGTCTTTTTCACAGCCAGACCATTTGCTATACTAATTTACACCATTTCTTGTCATCTGTGCTGTGGCTGCCAGTGGTGAGCTGTAGGGAGTGTACTGGGCCATGGACACCCCAAGCATCCCTGTTACTACCTGTTGTCTCAAAAAGTGCTGGAAATGTCTGTGAGTCAGAAATCTTGCAGAGAGCTTAACGGATCCCACCTCGTTAACATGCCTTCTCCTTTGCTTGGTTACTCTCCAGATCAATGGCCTCTAGCTCTTCCTCACTTCCTCTAGTTACCTGTTCATTGTGACTGCCTATGCCAGGTCATGGTCAATACATGAACTATGGGTGTTCTTGTAAGATCCTCCTCAATTGTTCTTTGTAATGTTGTCTTCCCTGAATACTATTGTATGAAAACTTGCTCTGGCCCAGTGCTGGCTGCTCACCACTGTGATCTTTCATTAAGGCTTGCATTGGATTATTCATATTCTGAGATTCTTTCATAATAGAAGGAGCAGGAAGAAAACCGGTAATTTTCACAGGGTAGACAGTGCAGGATGGTCTTAAATGAGGCCTGGTCCTGGTGAGTGACAGCTGGATGAGGGCATGAGATAAGGGCCGTATTCAGGTCATACCAGCAACCTCCCCTGTGTCCAGTATTGTTTTGGTTCAAGTGCCACTGGGCACAAATTATTTTACCTGTTATTTCCAGTACTTGACACTTTGTTGACTTTACATTTCCTGTGTGACTTTGTGGCTCCTGACTACCTTCACTTTCGTGCTGTGTGTCACCATTTTACTGCACTGCCTACTCTGCGGTATTCTCAAACATTGACCTGTGCGTGTCTTATGAGGTGCACATACATCCTTAAGTAGTCCTCAAATACCAGCTGCTCATTTATTGAATTTTACTGGAATAAAGATATAACCAACATTCTGCACAGCTTGCCCATGTCACCAGCACACAAGCCTTGCTGTACAGTGTTAGCAGAAGACTGGGTTGTGGGTTTGGTTTCTCTTCCATGTGGTGCATATAACCTGTCTTTTTTGCTGTTGTTTTGTGAGGTGTCCCCTAATTTGTGATTTTAGAGGCCCATTACTACACAATAGCCCCTTATTTAACCTGTCTCTATGTCTCTTATTTTCAGATAATCCCATGAAACCAATGTATTATGTCTGACACTCTTTTGAAATGGGCCTTACCCCTTCTACCAAAGTCAGTATCCATTTCCTCAGTATTTCTCCACTTTCAGGTTGTTGGCATAAGATGGAAGATGAAGAGGCCCTTGCTGAGCAGATTGTATCTATAGAAGGAGAATCACAGGTAAGGGTTTCTACAACAACTCCAGCAATGCAGAAGACCCATCCCTGTGAGCAGTGTGTCTCAGCCTTGAAAACTATTTTGCACCTGACTGAGTTCCAAGCGGCGTACCTTGAGCAGAAAGCATTCTTCAGTGACGTGTGTGTGAGAGGCTTCTGTTTCAGTGCAAACTTTCACCAGCAACCAAGGCCTGCGAGGGGAGAAAATCCCTGGAAAAAAGATATGGACAGGGCCTGGTTTGTGACTAGGTGCAGGTGCTATGTATCAAGGGCACTTTTCACTGGTAGAGAGGTTGAGAAGGACTTCCCAGCCATCTTAGGCCTTCTCCAACACCAGGCCACTCGCAACAGTGAAGAGCCACGCAGTTGTGGTGAGAGTTGGCAGGCCTTTCATGGTGGAAAAGGTCATCACCGGTGGGGCGAACGTGAAGTAGTTACCAGCGACAACCACAGTGTCGTTCATTGTCATGGTATCTGCTCAGGAGAGTGGCTTTATGAGTGTAGCAAATGTGGGAAAGCCTTTAGACAAATCTTTCACCTCATTCGACATAGGAGAGTTCACATGGGAGAAAAGCGGTATGAGTGCACTATTTGTGGGAAGTGCTTTAACCGCAAATTTTCCTTTATTCAACATCAAAGTGTTCACACAGGAGAAAAACCATATGAGTGCAGTGTTTGTGGTAAATGCTTCAGCTGCAAATATATCCTTATTCAACATCAGAGACTTCACACTGGAGAAAAGCCTTATGAATGCAGTGTTTGTGGAAAATGCTTTAGCTACAAATTTAATCTCAGTAAACACCAGAAAATTCATGTCGGTAAAAAGCCCCATCAGTGCAGTGATTGTGGAAAGTCCTTCGGTGAAAGCTCTGCTCTCATTCAACACAAAAGGGTTCACACTGGAGAAAAGCCATATGAGTGTAGTTACTGTGGGAAGCCCTTCAGACAAACCTCCAGTCTCATTCAACACTATAGAATTCACACAGGAGAAAAGCAGTATGAGTGCAGTGTTTGTGGGAAATGCTTTCACCGCAAATTTAACCTAATTCGACATCAAAGAATTCACACTGGAGAAAAGCCATATGAGTGTAGAGATTGTGGGAAGTTCTTCAGCCGAAGCTGTAAGCTCATTGAACATCAGAGAAGCCATACTGGTGAAAAGCTGAATGAGTGCAGTGTTTGTGGGAAATACATTCGCCACAAATTTAACCTCATTCAACATCAGAGAATTCACACTGGTGAAAAGCCATATGAGTGCAGTGATTGTGGGAAGTCTTTCAACCAAAGTTCTGCCCTCATTCAACATCAGAGAGTTCACACTGGAGAAAAGCCTTATGAGTGTAGCAATTGTGGGAAATGCTTTAACTACAAATACATACTCATTCAACACCAGAAAATTCACAGTGGAGAAAAGCCATATGAGTGCAGTGATTGTGGAAAATGCTTTAGCTACAAATACATACTCATTCAACACCAGAGAATTCACACTGGAGAAAAGCCATATGAGTGTAGTGATTGTGGAAAGTTCTTCCGCCATAGCTCTGGCCTCATTCAACACCAGAGAGTTCATACTGGAGAAAAGCCATATGAGTGTAGTGATTGTGGGAAATGGTTTAGCTACAAATATGTACTCAATAACCACCAGAGAATTCACACTGGAGAAAAGCCGTATGAGTGTATTGATTGTGGAAAGTCCTTCAGCCAAAGCTCTGCCCTTATTCAACACCACAGAGTTCATACTGGAAAAAAGCCTTATGAGTGTAGTGAATGTGGGAAATCCTTTAGACGACGCAGCCAACTTGTTCAGCACTGTCGAGTTCATTCTGGAGAAAAGCCTTATGAGTGTGAGGAATGCGGGAAATACTTTAGCTATACATCTAACCTCATTCAACACCAGAAAGTTCACAGTGGAGAAAGACCTTATGAGTGTAGTGAATGTGGGAAGTCTTTTGGCCACAAATCTCACCTTCTTCGGCACCAGAGAGTTCACACTGGAGAAAAGCCCTATCAGTGTAGTGATTGTGGGAAGTCTTTCAGCACAAGCTCTTCCCTCATTCAACACCAGAAAATTCACTCTGGAGAAAAGCGGTATGAATGTAGTGATTGTGGGAAGGCTTTTAGCCAGAGCTTTAAACTCATTGAACACCTCAGGTGTCACACTGGTGAAAGGCCTTACAAATGTAGTGAATGTGGGAAGTCCTTTAGACAACGCTCTAGCCTTTTCCGACACCGCAGAATTCACACTGGAAAAAAACCTTATTAGTGAAGCAAATATGAGAAAACCTTTGGACAAAATTGTAACCTCATTTGACATTAAGAAAGATCATACCAGAGAAATGCCTTATGACTATAATGACTGGCAAGTCCTTTTGACATCCCCCGAAGTTGTCCACATCATCAAGTTCATTCTGCAGAAAATCTTTATGAATGTGACATATGAGGGACATCTTTTAGCATTCCTCTAGCCTCATGGATCACTACAAAGTTCACCCTGGAGAAAAGCTGTATGAGTGTAATGAATGTTGAAATCCTTCAGCCAAACCTCTATCCTTATTGAACACCAGAGAGTTCACACTGGTCTAAGGTCTTACAAATGTAGTATATGAAGGAAGTCCTTTAGAAATAGCTGTAGCCTTTTTGACACCACACGCTGTAGACTGGAGAAAAGCTTATGAGTGCAGCAAATATTTTTAAAAAGCACCCTGACTGGTGTGACTCAGTGGTTGTGTGTTGTACCATAAGCCAAAAGGTTGCTGGGTCAGTTCCCAGTCAGGGCACATGCTTGGATGGATTGTAGCCCAGGTCCCTAGTTGGGAGCATGTGAGAGGCAACTGATTGATGTTTCTCTTCCTTTCTCTCTCCCTCCTCTTCCCTTCTCTCTAACAAATAATTAAATAATTACTTGTTATTTAACAAGTCATTAATAAAATATTTAAAATATTTTAATATTTTAAAAAATGTCCAATACACCTTAAACAAGTTTTTAACCTGATTTTACATAGGAAAGCTCACACCTGAGGAATGCCTTATGAGGGTAGTGACTGTGATAAGTGCAGTGCGGAAAACTCTAGCCTCGCTGATCACTGGAGAGTTCACACTGGAGAAAAGCTGTGTGAATGCAGTCTTTGTGAAAAGTGCTGTAGTCACAAATCTACCCTGATGCAACACCAGAGAATTCATACTGACAAAAGAAATGTGCACTGAATGTGCAAAATCCTATAGACAACACTGCACCTTATTCAACACTGTCAAGTTCACTCTCAAATCTCACCTCTTTATACATACACTGGGGAGCTTACAATGAAGAAAAGCCTTAAATATGCTTGGAATGTTTTATTTCCTCACTCTTTATAACAGCACTGGAAGAGACTCTTTGTAACCATTTACCTAAATTTAAATTTCTTTTAGTGGAATGTACACTGTGTTAGATTTCTCATCATTTCTAGGAAGAAGTGAGGCTTTAAGAAGTTGTACTTTCTAACCTGAACTGTGTTATCACCAGATTGATGTCAGTGCCAGTTTTTCTGAGTAAAGCCATTTTATTTTTAAACCTGGTTCACCTGCAAAGTGTGTGTCAGTCACAACTGCAACGTACTCAGGGAAACTGACCCCAGTGTTCTCATTTGCTCAAGGGAATTATGAATACTCCAAGCTCCTGGCATGATCCTCATTCCTTTCTGTCTGACCAGGGACTGCAACTGACCCATATGGTTCAGCAGACCCATCCTCAGCTAAGAAGGACTTTTTCTCTCAAGGACATTGTTATCGTTATGCTGGGCTGAATAGTTCTAAGTTCTCATTCACCAACCTGTAACTTTGTAAACTGCTTGCTGTTCACTGCTTTTGATGATTTCTTTTTTTGTGAAGGTCCTTTCGCTTTTGTACCTTTAATGTTGGTGGTTGTATTAAGTGGGTGGGATGACTGGAAAGGAGAATTGTGATCTGTCAGCACGTAGAAGTGAATAAATATTGTGGAGATCCAAGACTTCTGTGCTTTGGAAGGTAAGGTATGATGGCAAAAATCACTCTGTTCAATATAAGTTTTGTAATTATACCCAAGGCCTTGAAAGAAAGAATGCATGACTTTGTGGTCCTCATTTGTAGCCTGGTACCATCATTATTGGGGAGGTCAAAGGTCACCCTAAGGAGGAGGCTTTTGTTGTGCTTCTGTGAACAAAATGGATTCTTTTGCTTTGTTTACATTTATATTACATAATTCCCAGCAATGTTGAAGGGACGTACTCCATGGGTTGTGCAAGGAGCCATGTGCCATGACGTGCAAAATTTCATGGATTGGTGTCATTTGTTATAAAACTGGGTTACGTGGAACCACAATTGAGACAGAAACACTGTATTAATAGGGAATGGAAGAGACTGCAGTAAATTAGATGGAAGGTACCTCTTCTGAATGTTCATCCACAAATGTTTCAGGAACTATGGCTCATGTGACCTGTGTGCACAGTATTCTGAGGCCCTCCATAACTATTTCCTCTAGCTAAGGTCATCGGCAGAGAAAGTAATCTAATGGTTTGTGGTCTTCCCCTAGCCTCTCTGGGGTGTTCATCTCAGGGTCATTGCTCTACAGGCAAGAGAACGACACTAGAGAGAAGGGTGATCTTAAAGTCAGTCCTAGGATGTGCCCTTTGTGATCCAGCCAGCATGGCTGTTGATTCAGAATGCAATAGTCTTCACTACTTGCCAGTATTTTTTAAAAAGACTGTATGTTTATTTTTTGAGAAAGGAGAATGGAGAGAGAAAGAGAGGTTGAGAAATATCAATGCGAGAAACATCAATTGGTTGTCTTCCCTATGCTCCTCCAAGAGGGGACCATGCCAGCATCACAGGTGTGTTTCCTGACCAGGAATCACTCTGGTGACCTTTCACTTAGTAGAATGATGCCCGAGCGACTGAGCGCCTTAGAGCTGCTTGCCAGTATTTAGTGCCACTGAGGCAAGGCTGCCTCTCACGGTATATGAAAAGAAAGGAGGTAGAGTTTCTGTACCATTGAAAACCTGATTTTTTTACAACCTAATTTTCTTTTTTTTTTTTAATTTTTTATTGATTATGCCATTACATTTGCTCTATTCCCCCCTCCCCTCCCCTCCACCCTGCATACCCCTCCCCCACCATTTCCCCCTTTAGTTCATGAACATGTGTCTCAAATTCTTTAGATTCTGTATTTCCCCTACTATTCTTACCCTCCCCCTATCTATTTTCTATCTACTGTCTGTACTACTTATTTTCTGTACCTTCTCCCCCCTTCCCCCTCCTCCCACTCCCCTGTTGCTAACCCTCCATGTGGTCTTCATTTCTATGGTTCTGCTCCTGATCTAGCTATCCTCTTAGTTTGCTTTTGTTTTAGGTGTGGTTCTTAATAACTGTGAGTTTGCTGTCCTTTTCACTGTTCATCTTTTTATCTTCTTTTTCTTAGGTAAGTCCCTTTAACATTTCATATAGTAAGGGCTTGGTGATGATGAACTCCTTGAATTTGGTCTTATCTGAGAAGCACTTTATCTGTCCTTCCATTCTAAATGAAAGTTTTGCTGGATAGAGCAATCTTGGATGTAGGTCTTTGGATTTCATGATTTGGAATACCTCTGTCCAGCCCCTTCTTGCCTGTAAGGTCTCTTTTGAGAAATCAGCTGACAGTCTGATGGGAACTCCTTTGTAGGTGACTGTCCCCTTAGCTCTTGCTGCTTCTAGGATTCTCTCCTTCATTTTAATCTTGGCTAATGTAATTATGATGTGCCTTGGTGTGTTCCTTCTTGGGTCCAACTTCTTTGGGACTCTCTGAGCTTCCTGGATTTCTCGGAAGTCTATTTCCTTTGCCATCTTGGGGAAATTCTCCTTTATTATTTGTTCAAATAATTTTTCAACTGGTGGTTGTGCCTTTCCCCCTTCTGGTACCCCTATAATTCGGATGTTGGAACGTTTAAAGATGTCCTGGAGGTTCCTAATCTTCTCCTCATTTTTCTGAATTCTTATTTCTTCATTCCTTTCTGTTTTATCATTTTTTTCTTCTGTCTGGTCCTCTCCCTTGATGTGAGTCCCAATTTTCTTTCCAATACTATTGATATCTTTTGTATCAGCATTCATTTCAATTAATTTAGCTTCCATATGTTTCTCTAATTTGTGACTAAAATCCACCAGCTCTGTAAGGATCTTTATAACCAGTGTTTTGAACTGCGCATCTGAAAGACTGGCTATTTCTTCATCACTTAGATCTATCGGTTCTGGGGCTCTGAGTTGTTCTAGAGCCATTTTTTGGTTTATTCGTGCTGTTAAGTGAGCGGAGCGAAGCCTTAGTTGTTTACCAGGACGGGGCGACCCAGGTCGCTGGTTTGTGACGCTGTGTGTGGGGGGCGGGGTCAGAGTGAGCGATGGCGTTCCTCTCCGCTAGCCCAGAGCATCCAGTCACTCACACAAACGCCTCGGGCTTGCTTATCCGATCCTAATTTTGCGAGCCTGCTGCACCGCGCGCGGGTTTCCCTTCTCACTGGTTTCTCCGCACGTAAATGCGCGCGACCGACTGACCCACCGCGCCTCTTCCCTGTGCGCTCCGCAGCCAGCTCGCTGGCGATCAGCCCTCGGTTGCCTGCGCGCACCGCGCACCGCCCCGGGAATTTTTTCTTGCTAACCTGCTCCGCTTCTGGTCTCGCTCCTTGTACCGTTCCAGCCAAGTATCTAGTTGTTCTTTGGACTCCGTATTGTTGATTTTCCGTGTGGCTTGGTTGTGACTGCTGTTAAAAATAGTTGTTCTTAGATTTGGTTGTGCACAGAGGCAAGGTGGACCCTCCACCTACTTCTCCATCTTGGCGGAAGTCCCTACAACCTAATTTGCTAAGAAAAGAGGGATATCCAGGTTTTTATTTTGAACTATTTTATAAAGCTTTACTCAGGTATATATATGATGGACAAGTGACAAAGTACACTTATCTAATTCGTACTGTTTAGTGAGCTTTGACATAAGGATAAAGCTGGGAAACTCACAGATAAAAAAAACTTAACTGTCACCCATAAACAGGTTCAGCAAAAGGAGGTTTACAGTTGTAAGTATGCAAAACACCAAGTTAATTCTTGTATTATTATTTATTCAAACAACTGTAAACTTACTTTTGTCCTACCCTGTATTTACATTACCTCCTGCCTGTTTATAATCTCCCTGTCTTCCTTAGCCTGCCAGCTGGTTGTTGGCTTATCTTCCTTTACAATAGATTAGTTCATGTATTCTATCATTTTAAAGGCATTATAAGGTGTATATACTCTTTAACAAGTACTTTTATGCTGCACAGTTATTTTGTGACTCAACAATAACACTTATGTGAATAGTTAATTCTTTTGTTTCTGAGTAGATTTGTGTTATATAGGTAATGCTTTGTTTATCCATTTATCTATCTATGGTTTGGATTATTTCTAGGTTGGGGTATTACAAATAAAGCTATGAATATTTGCATTCAGTTCTTTATTTGCATGTATGTTTTATTTCTCATGCTGTTACAGTGTCAGCGAATGTTTTGCATTTTTAGAAATGCAAAACTATAATCTAAAATGGTTTCCTTTACCTTCCCATTCACCCACAGCATAAGGAAACTCTGTTTCTATCCTTCTGTAGTTCATAAGTGTGATGATTGGGTGTTCACACTCTTGTGTGACATGTGCCTCCCACAGACCTGATTACAACATCAGCACATTACCTGTCTGATATGAAGAAAGAAAAAGTTCCATTTGTTCTGCAACCCTGCCAGCACTTGCTGTGGTTAATCTTTTAAAATATTAGTCCTGGAAGTCAGTGTAGTGATAACTTGGATTTGATTCCATTTTCTTAAGAATTTATAATGGTTATCTTTTTAAAATGCATTTATTTACCCTGTTTTTGTTTCTTTTGATAACACATCTGCTTGAATATTTTTGCCTATATTCTTTTTGTGAATGTATTATTTTAACCAATAGGACACAGTGCAGCAACAAAGACATATGTTGGAATTTCATTCATTTCCCAATGACCTGAGTGGCTTCTTTGCCATATGGAACAATTATTTTTGAGTACTGACTTAAGCCCACTTGTACCATACACTTATAAGTTTAACCTACATTGTTAACGTATTATCCACCACTTTTTTAAGTCTAAACATTTCATACTACATTTTCAAGTCTGGGTTTGTAATCTTTTGTCAATTTCCCTGGTGTAAATACTCTCATCATGGTCAGTTTGAAACTGCCAAATTGATGTCACTGAACATGGAGAATGTAAGATATTCTAGTAGAACACAAGTATATTTTATTTCTATCATACTGATACGTAGCAACAAATAAAAACTTCAAAAACATCAATAATAAAACAGTAAAATGACTGGAAAATTGCAAGTTTAAATCACTGTTTTTTTTAAAAGTGTGACTTCTGCCTTGGCTGGTGCTCAGTGCATTGAGTGCTGGCCTGTGAACTGAAAGGTTGCTGGTTCATTTCCTGGTCGGGGCACATGCCTGGGTTATGGGCCAGGTCCCCAGTTGGTGTCATGGAAGAGGCAACTGATCAATGTATCTCACACATCGAAGTTTCTTTCCTTCTCTCCCTTCTGCTCTCTAAAAATAAATAAATATATTGCATTTTGGTAAAAAATTATTTACAATTTGCAGAAGGATATTTGGGTGGGGGTAATAGAAGGCACTTAATAAAGAGTAAAATTTGTCATCATTTTTATTAATAAAAGTATGAAATCTAACTTTAGAGACAATGATTTATACTAATTGCAGCCAATTAATTTGACAGTGTGCTGATTTTTGAAACAATTCTAAAACTAACTTGCTACAAGATAAACAAAATAAAAAGCAAGGAAACAACTTCTCCCCACATTCACTGAGTATGTTCTATGTGTAAAGCACATTATAACATAGTACCCCCAAAGAGTATACATGCCTCGTGTATTGTAAATTCTAAACCTTTAGATTTATCTGCTGCTAACTTGAAATTTCTTGAAAATTGTTTGGAGTGCTAAATATATAAAATTTTATATGATATATTCTCTTTTTAATGAAAGGATGAATTTCATTTGGCTCTCAATTTAATTATTTATTAAATCATGTTCTGAACTCAGAAACTTGAATTAGTCTTAAAAGTTGCCAGTGTTGTGTTGGGCTGAGAATAGTTATCATCTACCACTGTCGTTCTCCTGATATATTTTCTTATCTTGTTTTTCAGATTGATTGTGCAATTTAGGATTAAGTAAATTAAATGCTTTTAGAACATTCTGCCCTTAAATGTGTACATACCTTGATTTGCTAAGATTTCACAGTGAAATTTAGTTTTTAAAGTTAAATTTTTTAACTTTAAAAGTGTAAATCTTTTTAACTTTAAAAACACTTAAGTTTGAAAAAGAAACTTTCATACTTAAAGGATGGAATAAAATATGTAACAGAATGAGGACAGAAAGTGAGGGAAAAGGAAAGGTTTAGAATCTTTTGAGTGAGACATCAAATATTTAAATTTAAAACAGGTAAAAAGATATGGTGTGGGAATTGATAAAATTTGTTTAACTTGTCTGCTATACGATCCTGTAAATCTGCAAAATGCTGGGGATATTGATCATTCCATCCCTTAAAGACTTCAGAAACACAGGAAAGGATCACAATATTCCCTTGTTCATGGGATTTCAGGGCAACAAAGGCAGGATCTGAATTAAGTGGCTCCTGCTCTTAAAGGGAAACGAACCTGGCCATGAAACAAATTCTCTAGTCAGAATTTTATTTTATTCTTATCTTTCTAATTTAATAAACATACATCGGAGAGGGTAGAGACAAATTTCAGTAGACCAATTAATATCCGGTTATATTTCATAGTAGTAATGATATCTTAAGACTACTGAAATTTTGACTATTCCTTTTTTTTCTCCAAACCCCATCAGCATTAGGCTTTATGTTCTTTAAATGAGCATTTCATTTTCTTAAATGAGGAAATGATTAGGCCCTCAGGTCCCTAAACAGGAGGTAAGTGATAACACTTCTGATGACAGAAATTTTAGAGCTGGATCTTTAGAGAGCAGCACAACAAACTCACAACCAAACACACCAGAACCAGCCCTGACTGGGCAGCAGTTGTTTAGAGCATTGTCCAGACACCCTAAAGCTGTGGGTTCGATCCCAGGTCACGACATAATATAAGTCTCAGTGACTGCCTAAATAAATGGGATAACAAACTGATGGCTTTCTGAGGTCAATTCTTTTCATTATTAAATAGACTAAAACCAAATACGCATGTCAGCCCTCGTGCTGAGACCCCAGGCAAATCATCATCAGCAGCATATAACTGCATCTAATCGCGGGGCAGGTGTCTGCAGAGTGAAGTTAACTGTGAGCAGAGGCGAGGTTTGGGGCAGGCCTAAAACAGGTGGGCAGAGGGGTAGGATATATCAGATATTCTCAGGAGGCATCATTCCTTAGTATATACAAAAGGTATTTATGGTTCTGGATGGTGTGGCTTAGTGGGTCGACCAGCCTGCAAACTGAAAGGGCACTAGTTTGATGCCGTCAGGGCACATGCCTGGGTTGCTGGTTCCCATTGCAGCGCATGAGAGAGGCAACCAGTAACCAATCGATGTTTCTCTCTTTCCCTTCTCTAAAAGATAAATAAAATATTTAAAAATATATAATTTTGTTTCAATTCCAGAACATATAACAGAGATTTATGTTTGTCTTTTTTACTGGATTTCAGTGATACAAGTAAATGGATCCAATACCCATCTAAAAATGTAGACACTTTCCAAATGATATTTGCAGTCAAGACAGCAGGTGTCAAATGAAAAAAAAAGACAGTGGGTGCCAGGGCAGCACCTGTGTAAGTGTGGAAAGGGCCATCTGAACCTGAGATAATGGTTTGGGACACCATGATGTCATCTTGGTGTAAAATGATCATCATGTCACCTGTAATTTCAGTGACAATACATGCATGGGGAATTGAGATAATGTTTGAAAAACATCAGCAGATTGTACGAATTACTGAAAGCAAGTAATGTTAATTTAAAAAGTTATGTATTGACGACTGCAGAAATGGCTAGGGAGCAACCTACCTGTAAAACATTTTTTTAAGATTATTTACTTATTTATTTTTAGACAGAGGGGAAAGGAGGGAGAAAGAGAGTGAGAGAAACATCAATGTGTGGTTGCCTCTAGTGTGCCCCCTACTGGGGACCTGGCCTGCAACCCAGGCATGTGCCCTGACTGGGAATCGAACCAGCAACCCTTTGGTTGGCAGGCTGCACTCAATCCACTGAGCTACACTAGCCAGGGCTGTAAAACATTTAAAAAAAAATCTCAGGGAACACAGAAGGCCTGAAAACACTGGGCTATAATAAGTGAGAGAATGGAACAGCTTGTTATCCAGGTTTATTAATTATTTTGAAAGTTTGTCTCAACATATTCCTTTTCACAATACTGGAACAGAAGGTATAGCAGAACATGAGATAGAAAAAGAGATGAATAGAAAGGGTAGCTGGGTGGTTCAAATGAACAGATATCTGTGATGTCATTCAGTAAGTCTTATCCCAAAGAGTTATTGAGGTTCTTACATCTTTGGACACTTTGGTAGCTATACCGCACCATTATTGTATAACACGTGTAACCTAGCTTCTAATGGAGAGACAACATTACATAAAACCAAGTTACTAAATTTAGCTAATTAGTAAAGTCTATGCAAAATGGAGAAAAGTAAGCATGATGAAACACTCAGTGGTCAAGCATCGGTGGCAACATAAAATATGTTAAAGATGTGGGGGGCAGATCTGATTCTTCCTTTGAAATCTGCAAACATTCCTACTTTTCTTTGCATTGTTGTAATGAGAGGACTACAATTAGGGTAAAATACTGAAGAGCTCCAAATAGACCGCTGACCTCCACTGGACCCACCTTCCTTCCCTTCCCTGTTCTAGCAGGAAATAGAAAGTGCTGCGGTCAAGATTCAGTCACTCACTTTGCAGTGGAGACTATCCATCTTTTCTTCTTAACGCCAGTAAGCCTGAAACTCATTACCTTCTTACAGTGCTATCTTCCCTCCTCCATCTTATTCCCAACAATGTCCACACGTGCTGGTGTGTTCCCAGTAAACAATGTGGTAGGGCTGTTCCAGCTTGCCTTCAGCTGATACTATTGCCCTACTATTGCACGGGTGTAGCTCAGCGGATGGAATGCCGGCGAGCAAACCAAAGGGTCCCCAGTTCAATTCCCAGTCAGGGCACATGCCTGGGTTGCAGAGCAAGGTCTTCCGTAGGGGACACATGAGAGGCAACTACACATTGATGTTTCTCTCCCTCTCTTTTTCCCTCTCTAAAAATAAATAAAATCTTAAAAAATATATACGTTTACTTATTTTAGAGGGATGGGGAGAAACATCACCGTGGTGTTTCACTAATTTATGCATTCATTGATTGACTCTCCTATGTTTCCCTTCCGAGGGGTTGGTGGCATATGGGCGAGGGCGCTCTACCCACCTAAATCACCCGGCCAGAACTGCTGCCTCAATTAATTTAATCCCCGAAGTGTGCGACTGGGACACTAACACCCTGAACCTCGGAGGGAAACTACATTACCCAGAGCGCAACGCGCCCAACAATGGAGGCGCTGAGTTACAGAAAATCGAAATCCGCATTGCCAAGCTGAGCCTGGGGTACCTGCGCTACTCACGCTTCTGCCTCTTGGCGGTTGCTTTGGTCTCGCGGCTGGGTTCACCGAGTGAAATCCTTCCAAGTCCAGGTCCCCACGGAGGAGGCACCAGAGGAGGGGTCCCTGCCGTGCAGCGGTGCCTCCGAAGTTTGACCCGCATCGGGTGGGACCGAGGCCTGGGAGCCTCGCAGCCTCCGCTCAGCCCAGAGTCTGCAGGTCGTAGCCGCGCTGAAGCGCCCTGCTGAGGTGAGTGAGCAGCCCCCTGATCCTCCCCCCTCAGCTCACTGAGCCCTGCAGCCCGGGGGCCGGTGTCCGGGACTGAGAAGCATTCGCGGGGTCACGCACGGTGTGACTGGGTGGAGAGGGTGATGCACTGAGGGGCCACTGTGTCCCTACGCTGTTTTGTGTCTAAAGGCGACAGAGAAGCTGAAGCGAAGTAGTGCGGAAGAAATTTACCTTTCATTCTCCAGAAGTGGAGGCTCTGGAGAGTTGTGAACAAAAGAGGTATCAGGGCCCCTAGGTAGTACCTGATCCTGTTTGAATTTACCATGTATTCTCTGGACCCCATATGCGGACTGTAGATCACAGTGATGGTGATGACTGTGGTAAAGGGCAGGAGGAGGCTGGGGCTGTGGTGGTACAGGTGAGAGAGAGAGGTGTGGGAGGAAGGTTAAGATACACTTGCAGGGGGAGTGCGAATTTATGGCCCCAGGGCCCTGGCTTTGATCTAAGAATGAGTTAAGGGTCAGCCCATGTCTGGCGATGTCTGGAAGAAACAGTGTAGGGAACATCAGGAGAACTGCCTGAAAAGAGAGGTTGTAATTCTACAGGGTGAATCCAGAGATTAGAATCCATTTGTCTGCCCACCTATTTTTGTAGACAGGGCTGATTCAATGACCATTAGGACTTACATGAAATAGCGGCAGTCAGTGCCACCCAGGATTCAAAACCTCCATTGCCCTGGGGAAGGGAGAAGGGTAAGCAAAGGATGGATTATAGGGGTGGGGAAATTAGAATCCTGGGAAAGAAGCTGATCTGGGAACAAACAGTCCTTGTCATGTCAGAGCTGCGCTACCTTTGAAGTTGTGTTCTTGGGAATGTAGCTGTGTGAGGTTCAAAGAATTATGTACACAGGGTTACATAAACTAATGCCTCAGTGTCCTGGGATTGGGATCATAATGGTGAAGGTGATGCCATCTTTTTTTCTCTTGGACAATCTGGAAGACCAGTGGGGTATTGTCTGACGAGACTAATGTCAAATCACTCACACCATCTATATGGCCAACTTCAATCCCTAACCATTGTATGTGATACCCACTGCATTGTTAAGAGGCAGTGTGATCTACATGCCAGGCCCATATTCACCTATCAGCCTATTGTTGTGGGAAGACACAGTATCAATAGGAATATAGAAAGAATGACACTGATGGCACCAAGGCCTGGTATCTTGTCCGATGTGGGGACACGAGTGAGCAGATGGATGTGGAGGGTGGTGTGTAGGACCAACTTGGAATCCTGGGAGAGAACTGATCATGGAATGAACTCTCCTCATTCAAACAGGATATGAAGTTTGAGGATGTGGCTATTGCCTTCTCCCAGGAGGAGTGGGGGCTCCTTGATGAGGCTCAGAGACTTCTGTACTGCGATGTGATGTGGGAAATCTTCGCCCTTATAACATCTGTTGGTAAGACCTTGACATCTCTCCTCATTTCCTGGGATGATGTCCCGCCTCTCCTATTTTCTCCAGAGGTAGCATTGTCTTTCCCATAGCCAGACCATGGGCTCTGCTAACTTCTACCACTCTTGTCAACTGTGCTGTGGCTGCCAGTGCTGAGCTATGCGGAGTGTCCTGAGCTATGAAGTGCTGGACTAGCCCTACACCTGTTTTCTCAAAAATTTCTCGGAAGCCCTGACAGTGTGGCTTAGTGGGTTGGGCATTGTCCTGCAAACCAAAGGGTCACTGGTTTGATTGCAGATCAGGGCAAATGCCTGGGTTGCAAGGCAGGTCCCTGGGTGGAGTCATGTGAGAGCCAGACAATCCGTGTTTCTCTCACACATCCATGCTTGGTCTTTTTCCCTCCCTTCTCCTTGCTGTAAAATAAATAAATAAATAAATAAATAAATCTTTTTTTCTTTCTTTCTTTTTTTTTTTTTAAGTGTAGGGAAGACTCTGGGAGTCTGAAATCTTGCAGACATCTTAATGGATCCCACCTTGCTTGCCCCCTTCCTGACAAGGTGACTGTGTCCTGATCCATAGCCTCCAGTTCCGCCCCTTCATCTAGCTCATGGTTCTTTGTGACTGCCTGTGCCTGGTCATTGTCGTTACTTGAATGAACTCTTAGCTGTTCCTGTAAGATTCTTCTTCACAGGATGTTTGTCATCTTGTTTTTCCTGAATACTACTGTATGTGATCCAATGGTTGTTTCTCACCACTGTTTTCTTTCATTAATACTCGAATTATTCAAGTTCTTTTTTTTGAGGTTTTTAAAAATATATTTTATTGATTATGCTATTACAGTTGTCCCATTCCCCCCCTTCACTCCCTTCCACCCTGCACTCCCCCTCCCACCCGCATTCCCCCACTTTATTTTATGTCCATAGGTCATACATATAAGTTGTTTGGCTTCTATATTCCCCATACTATTCTTGCCCTCCCCCTGTCTATTTTCTACCTACCATCTATGCTACTTATTCTCTGTACCTTACCCCCTTTCTCCCCCTCCCACTACTCTGTTGCTAACCCTCCATGTGATCTCCATTTCTGTGGTTCTGTTCCTGTTCTAGTTGTTTGCTTAGTATGTTTTTGGTTTTGTTTTAGGTGTGGTTGTTAATAATTGTGAGTTTGCTGTCATTTTACTGTTCATATTTTTTATCTTCTTTTTCTTAGATAAGTCCCTTTAACATGTCATATAATAAGGGCTTGGTGATGATGAACTCCTTGAACTTGATCTTATCTGAGAAACACTTTATCTGCCCTTCCATTCTAAATGAAAGTTTTGCTGCATAGAGCAATCTTGGTTGTAGGTCCTTGCCTTTCATGACTTGGAATACTTCTTTCCAGCCCCTTCTTGCCTATAAGGTCTCTTTTGAGAAATCAGCTGATAGTCTGATGGGAACTCCTTTGTAGGTAACTGCCTCCTTTTTTCTTGCTGCTTCTAGGATTCTCTCCTTTTATTCAATCTTGGCTAATGTAATTATGATGTGCCTTGGTGTGTTCCTCCTTGGGTTCAACTTCTTTGAGATTCTCTGAGCTTCCTGGACTTCTTGGAAGTCTATTTCCTTTGCCAGATTGGGGAAGTTCTCCTTCATTATTTGTTCAAATAAGTTTTCCACTTGTTGCTCTTTCTCTTCCCCTTCTGGTACCCCTATAATTCAGATGTTGGAATGTTTAGAGGTGTCCTGGAGGTTCCTAAGCCTCTCCTCATTTTTTTGAATTCTTGTTTCTTTATTCTTTTCTGATTGGATGTTTCTTTCTTCCTTTCAGTCCACACGGTTGATTTGAGTCCCAGTTTCCTTCCCATCACTATTGATTCCCTGTACATTTTTCTTTATTTCACTTAGCGTAGCCTTCATTTTTTCATCTAATTTGCGACCAAATTCAACCAGTTCTGTGAGCATCCTGATTACCAGTGTTTTAAACTGTGCGTCTGATAGGTTGGCTACCTCTTCATCTCTTAGTTGTATTTTTTTCTGGAGCTTTGATCTGTTCTTTTGTTTGGACCATTTTTTTGTCTTGACGATCCTGTTATGTATTTGAGATGGAGCCTTAGGTGTTCACCTGGGTGGGGCAACCTACATTGCTGGGTTGTGATGCTGTATGTGGGTCAGGAGTCTGAGAGGGAACAGTGGTGCTTGCTCTGCTCTCTGCTGGATTTCAGTCACTTCCCCTGCTTCCCACAACCAAAGTGGGCCTTTCTGGTGCTGATTTCCTGGTGGGTTGGCTTGTGTACATTCCAGGACCCTGTGGGTCTCTCCAACGAACTCTCCTGTGAGGCTAGGAGTTTCTCCCGGCTCTTCAACCCCCACAGGTGTTTTCAACCTGTGATTTGAGGCTTTATTTCCCCTGCACTGGGACCCTCTGTTGTGTGGTCCAACCCCCCCCCCCCCCCCCGAGTTTGGCCTGGTTTATCTGTGCACGAATGTGGGACTGCCCAGTCTATTGGCTGCCTTGCTCGCAGTGCCCCGTTCCACAATCCCCTGCCTTGCTGGGTCCGCCAGATGCTGCCTTGCCACGAGCCCTGTCCATCCCGGCTGCCTCCATCCCAACTGCCTGTCTCCACCCCTCCTACTGGTCTCAATGAAAGTGTCTTCTTTAACTTCTTGGTTGTCAGACTTCCATACAGTTCAATTTTCTGTCAGTTCTGGTTGTTTTTTGTTTTAAAATTGTTGTTGTTTTTCTTTCGGTTGTGTGAGGAGGCACAGTGTGTCTACCTATGCCTCCATCTTGGCCGGAAGTGAATTACTCAAGTTCTGAGTAGTTTTTACAATAAGATGTGGGGAGAACCTGTGTTTTCTCACAAGGTGGATATTCAAAATTGTCTCAGAAGATACCTGGCCCTGGTAAATGTCAACTGTGGAGAGGGCATGAAAAAAGTACTGTGTTCAGATCATACCAGAACCCTGCCTTGTGTCCAGTAGTGTTTTAGTACACGTGCCACTGGCCACAACTTATTTTTTTCTTTTCTTTCTCATCTGTAACACTTTGCTGTCTTGTCATTTTATCTGTGATTTCCTAGCACTGAGCTACCTTAACATTTGTGGCCTCCGTGCATCACCTATTCTTCACGGCTCCCTCTGCAGTATTCTACATCATTGACCTGAGCATATGTTGTTAGGTTGCATACATCCTTATGTAGTCCTTGAACACCAGCTACACATTTATTCAATTTTACTGGGTAAAAGACATAACCAGCCTTCTGCACAGCTTGCCTATGTCACCAGCAAAATACCCTGATCAATCCTGTTACCAGAAGAATGAGTTGCAGATCCAGTTTCACTTCCATGTGGCGCTTGCATCTCTGTGTTCTTTTTCTGGTGAGGTCTCCCCTGTTTTGTGGTCTTCAGAGATCCAGTACTATACAGCAGGACCTTATTCAACCTGCCTCTAGGTCCATTTCTTTCAGACAGTCCATGGAACCATTGTATTATTATGTGTGATACACCTTTGTAATAGGACTTCAATCTCCCATCAAAGTCAACATCTATTTTCTAAGCATTTATCTGCTTTCAGGTTGTTTCCATAAAATGGAAGACGATGAGGACCCTTCTGAGCAGAGTGTATCTATAGATGGAAAACCACAGGTCAGTTCTTTTAAGACAGCACTTGCAACTCAGAAAACCCATTCCTGTGAGCAGTGTGTCTCAGTCTTGAAAACTATTTTGCACCTGACTGAGTTCCAAGCAGCGTACCTTGAGCAGAAAGCATTCTTCAGTGATGTGTGTGTGAGAGGCTTCTGTTTCAGTGCCAACCTTCAGCAGCAACAGAAACCTGCCAGTGGAGAGAAGCATCTGAAAGGAAATATAGACATGGCCTCGTTTGCAACAAGGTGCAGGTACTATGTACCAAGGGCACCTTTCACCCATGTTGATATTGGGGAAGACCTCCCAGCCATCTCCGGCCTTTTCCAGTACCGGGTCACTCCTAACAGTGAAGAGCCACACAGTGGTGGTAAGAGTGGGCAGGGCTTTCACAGCAGAAAAAGTCATCCCCAGTTGAGTGAATGTGAAAAAGCTGCCAGCCACAACCACAAAATCGTTCAGTATCAGGGTATCTGCTCTGGAGAAGGTCTTTATGAGTGTAGGAGATGTGGAAAAGCATTTGGACAAATCTTTAATCTCATTCAACATAGAAGAGTTCACACTGGAGAAAAGCCGTATGAGTGCAGTGTTTGTGGAAAATGCTTTAACCGCAACTTTTTCCTTCTTCGACATCAGACTGTTCACACTGGAGAAAAGCCGTATGAATGCAGTGATTGTGGGAAGTCCTTCAGCCAAAGGTCTAACCTCATTCAACATCAGAGAGTGCATACTGGAGAAAGGCCCTATGAGTGTACTAAGTGTGGAAAGTTCTTCAGCCAAAGCTCTACCCTCATTCAACACCAGAAAATTCATACTGGAGAAAAGCCGTATGAGTGCAGTGATTGTGGGAAATCTTTTAGACTTCGCTCTCACCTTATTCAACACCGTCGAGTTCATTCTGGTGAAAGGCCTTATGACTGTGGTGAATGTGGGAAATCTTTTAGCGATACCTCTAGCCTCAGTAGACACCAGAGAATTCATACTGGCGAAAAGCCACATGAGTGTAGTGATTGTGGGAAGTTCTTCACCCAAAGATCTGCCCTCATTCAACACCAGATAATTCATACTGGAGAAAAGCCTTATGAATGTAATGAATGTGGGAAATCCTTTAGAAAACGCTGTGAGCTTATTCAACACCGTCCAGTTCATTCTGGAGAAAAGCCTTATGAGTGTGGTGAATGTGGGAAGTTTTTTAGCATTTATTCCAGCCTCTTTAGACACCAGAGAATTCACAGTGGAGAAAAGCCATATGAGTGTAGTGAATGTGGGAAATCCTTTGCACAACGCTCTTATCTTGTTCAACACTGTCGAGTACATTCTGGAGAAAAGCCTTATGAGTGTGGTAAATGTGGGAAATACTTTAGCTATACATCTAACCTCATTCAACACCAGAAAGTTCACAGTGGAGAAAATCCTTAAATGTGCTGGGAATTTTTTTTTTCTCACTTAATATAAGAACACTGGAGGAGACATTTTGAGAGCTATTTACCTGAATTTAAATGTTTTTAGTGAAACATTCATACACTGTTCCAGATTCCTCTTAGTTTTCAGGTACAAGCAAGGCTCAAAGCAGCTTTGTTGCATTTTGTAACCTGCCCAGGGCTATTACCAGATGATGTCAGTGCCAGTTTTTGTGGCTGAAGCTATTTCGCCTCTACCACCTGGCTCACCTACATATGTTGGTCAGTCACAACCCCAGTGTTCTCAGAGATGACCTCTGTTCTCCCTTTTGCTTGAGAAAATAATGAATACTCTGATCATGTGGTAAGATCCTCATTCTTTCCTGTCTGAGTAGAGAATGGCCCTGAACCATTGTGGGTCCAGCAGACCCATTTTCATTTAACAAGGACTACCTCTTCCAGGGACATTGTTGTTCTCACATGATATGTGATGAATCTTTTAGGTTCTAATTCACGAATATGGAACCTGCTCACTGTACACTACTCTGTTTATGATCTTTTTGTAAAGGCCTTTTTACTTTAGTACCTTTAATTTTTGTGTTTCGATTTCAAAGATTGTTTGAAAGCAGAATTGTGATCTGTCATCATGTGGAGGCGAACAGATTTTGTGGGGCTCCCAGACTCATTGTGCTTCAGCATAACAGCATTATGGCAGAAAATTGCTGTTTGTTCAGTATTGATTTATTTTATATTGCTTCCCAAGGCATTGAAAGAAAGACTGCTCAACTTTGTCCTAATTTGTATCCTGGTGCCCAGGTTACTGGAGAGGTCAAAGGTCACTCAGAAGAGGCTTTTGTGCCTCTGTGAGCAATAGAGTTACATTTCTTTGTTCACCATATATATATATATTATGTTATTTTTAGTAATGATGTGGACACCTCCTCCCCAGGTCCTACAAATGAGCCATGTGTCAATTATGTATGAAATTTCATGGGTTGGTGTCATTTGTTATAAGATTCTGCGTGTTAGGTGGAAACACAATTGAGACAGAAACACTGTATTAAGTTGCCTCTTCTGAAAATTCATCCACAAATATCCTAGGGACTACGGCTTATGTGATCTGTTTATACAGGCATCCTGAGCACCTCCATAACTGTTTCCCTAGCTCAGGTCATTGGCAGAGAAAATAATCTAATGGTCTGTGGTCTTCCCCTGTCCTCTCTAGGGTCCTCACTTCAAGGCTGTTGCTGTACAGGCAGGAAAACAAAGCTAGAGAGAAGGACAGGCCTGTACTCAGTCCCAACATGTGTGTCTTTGACCCCGTCAGCACTTCTGATGATTGGATGGCAATAGTCATCACTGTTTGCCAGTATTTGCTGCCACTGAGGCAAGGCTGCCACTCCTTGGACACGAGGAGAGAGGTGGTAGCGTTCACATAGTGTTGCCAATCTAATTTTCTAAGAAAAGGGGGATATCTAGGTCATTAATGGGAACCACTTTGTAAAGCTTTATGCAGGTATATGTATCATTAACATGCAACAAAGTGCACTTATCTAATTGGACTGTTCGGTGAGCTTTGCCATACTCATAAAGCTGTGAAACTGTCACACTTGAGAAAGAACTTATCTATCACCCATAAAACTAGTTGTAGTTTTGAGTACACAAAACAGAGCTTATTCTTTTTTTTTTGCCTCACCTATCCAATATACTTGCTACTTTACTTTCCTCTGAAAAAATACAGTGTGATTTGGAGAAGTACAGAATTAGTTGTCTGGAGTTGCTTTTGGAGAATGATCCGTAAGTGCCTTATCAGTGGTCAGATATTGATATAGGGATCATCTCTGGCACTTTAATCTTCATACTTCCAGCTCTGTTAACTGTGATTCAGCTTTTTATTTTTGCTTCATTTTGAAGGACAGTCATTGTTTTTTTGTAATTCCTTTGAGGATTGAAAAGTGGCCTTAACAAGTCTGTGATAGAGACTGAGTATAGTACTCCTGTTCCTTGTAATATTTTGGCTCCTGGCATGCCCCTTTGGGGTGTCCCTTCAACCTGAAGGTGCCCTGTTAATCCTCTCCTTCCCAGATGATAATGGACCCTGTATTAGTCTGCTCGGGCTGCTATAACATAGTGCTTCACACTGGGCAGCTTAAACAACAGAGATCTGTTTTCTCATATACTTGGAGGCTAGAAGTCAGGTCAAGATGTCAGTAGAGTTGGATTCTTCTGAGTCCTCTCTTCTTGGCTTGCAGATGGCCATCTTCTCTGTCCTCACATGGCCTTTTGCGTGCATTTGTCTTGGACCTAACCTCTTCTTGTAAGGACACCAGCCCACCCTGTCGATTATTTTACCTTAAAAGACCCTGTTTTCAAATACAATCTGAGGCAATGCGGTTAGGACTTCAGTATATGGATTAATGCCATGCAGTTCAGCCCATATCAGTCCCCATGCATCTTTTCATAAGGAGCTAACATTAAGGAGCTCTCTGGAGGATTATCTCATTTAACACCCCAAAATTATCCAGCAAGGGAACTGTTTATTTATGTCTGCTTCTCAAAGGAGGGGTCTGCAGCTTAGAGAGGATACTCAGCTGCAAGTGTATGAACTGGGAAAGACTTAGCGGACAACCTGTGGGTCAGCTGTTTGTTCCCTTGCATCCTCTCCCTTAGGGACACAGCAGACTCCAGCCAGAAGCCCAGATGCCTCTCCTGTGACATGGGACCATGTAGAAACTACACCCTAACATCACCCAAGGCCCCTCCCACACACATGCCGCACCTTCCGTGTAAACTCCTGCCCTCTTGTCCTCATGGAAGGCTCCACCACTGCGCTGGCATCCCACGCAGGGTCATCAGTGTCACCCCAAACACAACGCTGGCCCTCACCATTCCATACGGTGATTTGTGTTTAGATCCTGTTGGTCTTCTAATATCACTGCAGGGTGCTCGCTCCCTCCCATCAGTGCCTCAGTCCTGAGCGCCACCCAGTAATCACTGTCACTTTTGTGGACATTAAAGACATGTTGAGGCACTGAAGAAATCTCAGTCTCTCTTTTCCACCCACCCCACAATGGGTGACCTTAGCCCTGACCATGCCTCCCCACCCTTCTAGCTAAAATGCAGAGCAGTAACTGACAAAGTGAGTCCCTAAGAACCTTCCCTTTTCCCCCTAGAGAACCAGACCATCCACTCCCTAACCTGGGTGGTAGAGCAGGGTGGTCCCACTCTGCAGCCTGTTCCTCTCACACAGGACAGGACAGCATCTCACACCTGTCACACTGACCCCATGGTGTGTGAGGTGTCCGGGCTGTGCTGAGTATCAGTATCATAGAACTTTCACACAGGGTCCCCATCCAATCGGATACCTGAAATGTCTGTTTCCAGGCTGTGCTGCTGTCTACTTGCAAAATAGTCACAAGGTTTGTGTTTCCAGATATGTCAAATAGAAATGACTTATACTTGGGGAAAAAAATAGTAAAGGACCAATACAAAATAAAGACAAGAGGTTTAACTCTCTGCTGGAAATGGAAAGGAGATTTTCTTCCCTTTCCTTGTCTTAGAGCATTTGCCTTCTTCAAAACCTGTAAGCACTTTCCCATCTCTAAAGTGTGTGCCTTTGAAGGCCAGCTGAGCCTTTTGTCAGTTCAGGTTTCCAGTCCCTGTGAGGGAAGGAGGCTAACCTCGGGGGCACTTGGTCCATTTGTAAAGCTACCTCCTGTTTATGTGTTCTTCCCCTCTTGAGTGTTTTTCACTTGTTTTTATCTTAAAAACTCATAACTTGGTTATATAGAGCAGTGGTCCCCAAGCTTTTTGGCACCAAGGACCAGTTTCATAGAAGACAGGGTGGAGGGTTGGGGGTTACCAGGAGGTAAGGGGGAGCTCAGGTGAGCTTCATTTGCCCACCTTGGATGAGAGGAGGTGGGAGGGAGGCAGGAGGCAGATCTCAGGCCAGCTTCAATCCGGCAGTTCCTAACAGGGTGCAGACCAGCCGCAGCCCATGGCCCCTGATGTAGGGGAATGAAAGTTTTATTTAAAAAAAAATTTTTTTTGGCTTTGCACTTTCTTAGCAGAGTACCTGCAATGGACATTTCATTCTGGCTTAATGCTTATTCAATAGTAAAGTGTTTCCTGTCTGTACCATGAGAGAATGTCTGGGCTGGGAAAATATTTTATTTTCCCAACAGTTATCATCACACACCTGCCTGTAGAAACCAAATGTCCCACTCATCTCATCAATATCTAGTGTACCGGAAACGTGGGCAAAGGTGATCACTTAAACAATACCAGACAATGAGCTTCATCTGAGAAGTGGCTAATTCTCATGTGCAAATGTATCATCAATTTCAGCAAATAATTAGAATGGTATATTGGAACAGTAGGATAAGAGACTTTTGAGACAGCTATTCAACCTCTCAGGTACTCAATGGATCCTGAGAGCAATAAGTCTGGCTTAAGAAACTCATTTCTAAGATGAGAAAATTAGCCATCAGTAATATTTTAAAATATTTTTTATTTTGTGCGAAAGTTACTGGCATTGTGAAATAGCCTTTACATTTGAAAAAACAGACTTTGAAGAGGTTACGCATTTTTTATAATACATATACATGTCTACAAACATTTTCATAGTACTACTATATTTAGAACATATTTTATAACTTCCAGATGATATTTTTCATTTATTTTCTCCCCCTCTAAGCTGTTAAGTTTTAGAAGGGCAGGGAGCCCTGACCAGTGAGGCTTAGTTGGTTGAGCATCACCTCGCACCATGAAAGATCACCAGTCCCATTCCCGGTCAGGGCACATGGCTGGGTTGCAGATTTGGTCTCAGGTCAGGACACATATGAGAGGCAACTGATTGATATTTCTGTCTCACATCAGTGTTTCTTTTCCTTTCTCTCTCCCTTCCCCGCTCCCCAAAAATAAGTAAAAACTTGAAAAAAAAATAGAGGAGAGTAAGGAATTTTTATTTTGTTCACCAAAGCATCTCAGGTGCCTAAACATCTCAAGTGGCTGAAACATTT